CAACACCACATAAGATAATTTGTGTATTTCCTGGGAATGTACAGGACCAAAACAGACACATTATATATAAATATTGTAAAATTCTGCATTTTTTTTTTTTTTTTTACTAATAAAGTGCAAAACGGTACAGTATTAAAAAAAATATATTATCACAGTATTCAAATAAAGTTACTTTACGAAAAACATTAACACAAAAAGACGTTTTGAAATAACGTTCATGGAAACAGACCAAGTACACCTCAAATATTGTTTTGGTGTTCTAACATAATGTTCTCACTACATTAGTATTTCAAAAGCCAAAATTGGGCACTGTTCATTTTATATAAATATATATATATATATATATATATATATATATATATATATATATATGTTTATATTATGCTCAGATTTATTTTTTTATTCTCACTTTTGCAAAAACGCATTTGGTCATTGTGGATAGCCAGTTCAGTAGAATAAATCCTACCCTGTACTTTGCAAAGCATTTGCGTCACATTTAATACACCCACTTAAATCTACTATTCAATAAATAAGCTATTAGAAATTTTTGGATTCTAAGACAGGATTAATTTGATGTTAATGAAAAGCAATTTAAAAAAAAAAAATGTTTCTTTTCTTCTCTTAAATGTGACCATATACTGCAAAATGTTACAGGATCTTCAAGTAGTCGAATAAAAAATGAATCTGACTGAGCTTGATTGGTACGTGCCTCAGAGTTAATACACAGCTTTGCATATAATAAAGAAACCTGATTTCTACCTCACATTTACAGTATATAGACTAACATTTGTCATGAATATAGTTTAACTTCATATGGAAATCATATAATACCTGGAAGTATGGACCTCCAGCTCTTAATGGACTAAAGCTCCTTCATTCTTCTCAGGCTAGCCCATGCCAGCAGGGGATTATGGGAGTTGTCATCCAACAAAGGCTGGAGCCAAGTTTGAACATCCAGGCTATAGTGCATCTATAGCTATACTTCATATAACACATGTTGTACTGATAAACTGTTTAAAAACATATGATGATCACAGTAATGTGTAGCCCTTTACTATAGCAGTTATGCCTCGGATTGTCTGTAGTACAATTAAAATGTTTGCAGACCTACGCAGTGGGTTCAGTCATGTAAAGGATTTGCACCAAGTGATATATTTTGTGGTTCTACTTTATTTACATTGTCACCTGAAAGAAAAACCACAGAAATAGTACAAATATATAAATATGTATGTATGTATGTGTATATATACATATATAAAATGGTTTGGAGTGTTTATTCATTTGTGCTTTTTTTGTTTTCCTTCCAAAACTGGATCGAGCCATTGATAATTCCTTTTGATTTCAATCTGAGATCAGCTTTTAGTAATATAAAGATCTTGAGCTGCTCTCTGAACCATACCAAATAGCAAAGCAAGACAATGCCAGTAAATTTCCCAGAGAGGTTGAGAAGCCAAGTCCATGTGAAGAATGTAAATGAAGATTCTAAATTATGTAAGTTCAGGAATAGAGCATACTTGGCATTTCAGACTCTGTGGTTTACAACTCCAACCACGTTCCTTGCAATAACCCATAGCTCTACAGCTAATGCACAGTTGCAGAACACTATTAGGTACTGTTACAATCAGACCCTGATCTTGTATGGCACTATCTATCCCCGGTATAGACCTGTGCACAACAAGAAACTTCAGTTCATCCAAATTATTTTGTCCAACATTTTGATTGGGATGTCTAACGTTCGTTTATGTAATGGTTTGGTTCAGCCAAATATCATCCATGGAAAAATATTTGGGAAAACATTCGGTTAAACCAAAAAGGATGCAAAAATGGACCAAAAATATAAGTTAAAGGGCAACTTTCACCTCAAAACTATTTATTTATATTATAGCCCGTTCACATTTTTTTTAAGGAAATTGATTTTATTAAAATTAAGTAATGCTAAATTAATTCCCACATGTAGTAAATAGCAGGATCTTTTAGCCATACACATGCAACTTGGGTCAAATCATGTTTGAAAACCAACACTCTCTCTGGTGTTCCCGGTTTCTGTGCAGAATGAAGGAGAGAAGACCATAGAGACTGTCTGTTTTCAACCACTGTTTGACCCAAGGTGCACGTATATGGCTCAAAGATCCTGCCGTATACTAAAAGTAAATATTTGTTTTTCTATTTAATTTTTTTTACATATACATAATTCTTTTTTAAAAATCTGTAATTTCAAAATTTGATGAAAAGATTATTATGTCAAAAAATAATTTTGAGATGACAGTATTCCTTTAATTTTAACATACGCAACAAAGCATGTGACCAGCAGAGGATAAGACTGATGTAGCATAGGTGGCAGAGAGTGTCCATCATTGGATACCTGACTAGTGATGTCCCGAACTGTTCGCCGAACGGTTCGCCGCGGACTCATCATTGAGTAAACTTTGACCCTGTACCTCACAGTCAGCAGACACATTCCAGCCAATCAGCAGCAGACCCTCCCTCCCAGACCCTCCCACCTCCTGGACAGCTCACTAAGAATGCAGCTTCACAATGGATGCTGTCCAGGAGGGGGGAGGGTCTGGGAGGGAGGGTCTGCTGCTGATTGGCTGGAATGTGTCTGCTGACTGTGAGGTACAAGGTCAAAGTTTACTCAATGATGAGTCCGTGGCGAACCGTTCACGAACCGCTCGACGAACAGTTCGGGAGATCACTATACCTGACTTTTCAACATGTTTAAAAGAACCTTCTGTGCTGACCTTTCTACTATTACAAAACTGATTTTTTTGATGTAGTGTATAAATGGGCATGTAAACAAATGAAAAACAATACCAACTTGACTACATTTCATAACTGCCACTGCTGAGCACTAACATTAATTTTCTGATAAATGTTTAAAATACTTTTTGTATTTTATCTACACATTTTACAATTGTAAAAATATACTTTTTTTTTTTACGCAAACTGTAGGAAAAAAAATTCCAAAACTATATTTTAACACAAAAATGTGTTCATACTACTCCTCACATATAAAGGGGGGAGGGTGGGAGGAAAAAGAAAGAAAAAAACAGTACATTTAACATAACTACTGGAAGGATTTTTGTGTATAAGATGTCTCACATCTTATCACATTTTAGCTGAAAGTACATGTTTATCTATATCTGGCACTACATAGTCTATGGGCTACAGTTGACATTCTCAGGTTCTCAAAAGTTGTATTTGGTTGTACATATTTTGAAAGACATGTGACAAATATAAAAATAAAAAAATAAAAAACACCTTTAGATGTAGACATTAAGATGTACATTTTTTAGAGGGAGAAAAAAATAAAATGTGTACAAAATTGGTGGATAGCCAAAATACAAGATTCACCAATAGCAAAGAGCATTTTTTTAAAATAAAATTCACATATACGTGGCACCTTCCACACCTTCTTCAAACTTATATTTGAAATGACATGAACTCTTGTTCTGCAGACGGGGGATGCAATATTCCGTTGCACTGTCCACTTCCTTTTGTGTCTTAAAGGAGGCTCCAGCTCACTATATGCTCAAGCCTGATGAAAAATGGAAACATCACAGGTCACTGTGGGTTTACTCAATCTATATTAATATATAAATAAGGCAGACATATCTGAATTTTGTAGGGAAAATTTAAATTTCAGAGCACCATTTAAAATCAATCCCCCCGTGCCGAAAGAATCTGTGAGATGCGACATTTATTAGAGGTGCAGCTTATGGACAGCAAATGTTTCAACCATTCAAAATGCTCTTTAAAATAGATGAACTGCATATTAGCTGTAATTTTTCTGAAAAATAGAATAATTGTTTTTTGGTTACAGAATGCCAAATATTCTTTCAGCTGTTGATATGCATAGTGTGTAATTTATAGAAGAAAGAATCCTGGACCTTGCAGCAGATGTAGTCTAAAAGTAGGTCACCACCTGTTGAATTATAACTCTCATGATACTTTGACAGCTTTAAGTTGTAGTGCTACAGCTGGGTATCTACTTTAACCCCTTATGGACCAACTTCATTTTTTGTTGATGTTCTAAGGTTGTCCTCAAATGAAAATAAAATCTTATGCTTATTCAGCAGTACTGTGCAGTCTGTGGAACATTCTATTTTGTGAAGGTCTTTGGACCTTAACCATTAAGTCAAACCTACCATCAGCATCAAGAAAGTGGATACAATCTATATTATACTGAAAAAAATATGGTAACAAGCAGGGTGTGACATTATAATATGTCTTAAGGTTAGGCACTTTACGTGCTTTTTACAAATATTTTTGTACATCCTTTAAAAGAGATTTAATTGCTCTGAAAAGTCTATTTCAGTATAATCAAGGAGAACAAAGTTGTGACTGTCTGCCTTAACCTCCTCGCTTTTAAAGACACACTTATTCATATAACGGATAAACAGATCAAATATGCATTTATGGACATGGCGCCATGTTTGAATTAGTGTGTAACTGCATATTTGGTGTAAATCGAACTTTTACCATTTTTTTGCTTATTGTAATATGTTTATCCAATCTGCATCTCTAAAGGGAAACTCGTGACATCATAACCGTTTCAGGTTACTGAAGTGGTTATGATGCCAGTATACTGTTCTTGTCATCTATTGTTTCAGCTTTTTAGCAAAATAGCAAAGATGGCTTTAAAGTTGAGCTATTTGCTCACGCAAGGGACCACACTATCCAGAGAGCCAGGATTTACACTCTCTGGCACTCATATTAACTCATTGAGTTGGTAGGTTAGTTTTAGGAAATTGAAGATTCTACTCCAATGGGCACTTGCAAGTCCAGAGGGTTGACCTGTCTCTGTGTTGATTGGCAATCTGGCACTAATCGCTTTTGGATTTTCAAGTTCTCACACCTGGGGAGCCGTGCCTGCTAGTCACTCTCATATCAGCACCATGTGCGTGCAAGAGCTTGGATAGGTAATTCATGACTCTGATTGAAGGGCGTTGTAGATAGAGTTACAAGGGCCACTTTAAAGCACTGTTTTGTTAGTATAAGAAATAGCTGAAACTAAAGATTGCAGGGTCAGTACCCTGCCACTATAACCACTTCACTTTTAAGGATGATATGTTTATGGTGCCTAGAGTTTCCCGTTAAAACTGTATACAGATATTATACATATTTTTCTTTCTTTTAAACCGTGTGCCATTTTTCGTCCACTTTCTCTGCTTTTCTAAGCATTAGAAAGCCAAATAGCAGCATATAGCACTATCAGGGTTGAAGGGAGGGAATTACTCCTCTAGCTAAAGTAGAAAAGTTTTATGTTTCAGGCTTGAAGTGAAAGTCATCATGTAACATTCCTACATAAACATCTCGGTAGAGCCAAGTTCTACTAATCTCCTGTGCAAAGCTTTCATAGAGTTACAATGCAAGTCTACATTGTTTCACAGCTACACTCTATTGAAATTATATTTCACTTCCATTCTTCTTTCAGAATCCACAATATACATTTTGGCTGCTGTGAATACAAACTAGGCTACCATGATCAGGTAGCCAACTAAAACGTTGGCTTCACATGAATCGAGTTGTGATCTATAGTAAGTAGACTAACAGCAAATGCCACACTAGCCTGAAATGCTTTCACTGCTCTTTGTAATCTACAATGGAAGAAATCTAAGATATGATCTTAACATTAACATTAAACATGTAATTATAATCCAATATATAAGCATCTCCGACATTTGATCAGATTGTTCTATTTGTGTTTTAAAACCCAAGAGTGTGCTTTATAACCCCAAATAGAATAAGGATTTTAAAAACAAGGAATGTGAAATTTTACTCAGTTATTTGATCTTTTTTGACAATCTTGAAAAATGAGTGTATTAAAAAACCATAAGGTCCTCAAGTGGGCTTCATTGCCCTGGGCTTTCCACATCTGCTCCATTCATAATGCTTGCTGAGCCAAATTATGAGCGCACCACAATCCACTGCCCCTAGTTTGCCCTAATGGTTAATCCAGCTCTGTACAGCCTTTGGGGGGAAGTTACAAAGAGGCTCTGTTAGACATATACAAATTAGTTTGACCACATAAAGAAAACTTGACCATCACTGCAGTCAACAAACCCAAGGTCGCAAGAGTTGTCAGTAAAATCTTACAGCAAAACTAATAGTGAGGCAATGTCTCAAAAAGAGAAAGTGCAGCAGCAAAGTGGTCAATCATCAAATCCTCAATTGTCCCCAGCAAGAATCTACAGTGTGTCCACGGCACTCAGTGACATAGAATCTTCACAGCCAGTCACACCCAGTGGGATACATGAAGGCATCTGTATGTCATATGTACATCATCACATAAACGTGTTACCAGCACTTACGCTGCTAATATGCAAGTGTCTGTTTTGGCTGATGCTGCCGTTAGGACATTTGGAAAAGTTCTCCTTTTTGCAGACCAAGTACTTTGATATGATCTTGCGGAAAGTGTAACGGAAATCCCTTATTTTATAGGCATATATAATGGGGTTCACTACTGAGTTGGCGTGAGACAAAATAATAGCCATATACATCACCCACTCAGGCTTTGTCTTGTTAAAGTTGGGCTCAAACAGTGTTATGCAGTTTAGAATGTGAATGGGCAGCCAACAAAATGCAAAGAGACCGACAATAATGGAAAGAGACTTGGCCGCATTCACTTCTTTTTGGAGCGTTGTCCTAGAGTTCTCTGAATTGACACACTTAAGTTCGATTTGTCTTAGCTGCATGCGGGCAACCATGAAGATTTTTACATATATACCCAGCATGATCAGGAGAGGAAGCAAAACGCATCCAAAAAAATTGAAGTAGACCATGTAACTCATAGTGACCACTGATTCAAATAAGCACGGAACAGTGCAATTGTTGCTATTAGCAGCTGGACATGTGTCTTCCAACCGGTTCCAGCCCATAAGTGGTGTCAAGCCAATCCCGAATGACAGGATCCAGAAGATTGTGATGACAGCTCTTGCCCTCTTTCCCGTCACCAAACTTTTATACCTGGAAACAAAGAAATATAAAGTTCATTAGGTGATAACACAGACTATAAAAGAACATATTTTTCAATTACCAAAGACGCATCAAGAGTCGACATCCCTGTTTCTGATATTCTATTATTCATTCACAAGGCAAATATGTGGGAAGTTCAGAAAAAAAAATTACACAGTTACATATGAAGCTAAAATGAGAAAAATACAATAAAATTAGACTGAAGTTTACAGTTGTTGGCTGGAACACTGTTGTATTTTATTATGTTTTAAACATGTACCTTCCCCCAAATGTCCCTAATGCAGACAAAACGGTTTTGGGCAGACATGTAGTGCTAACCTGTGACGGGACTAATATAATGCTGTCAGCAAAGATTATTTGCGTGTTTAAGGAGTGAATTGGTGCTCACTGTAGGAGCAACAAAATGTGTAATTAGATTTATGCTTATTTTTTAGTGGAAAGTATATATCTGTATCATTTTGTGTTCTTCAGTTTTGATATATACCCTATGCAAAAAATTGAAGAAACATCTATTTCTATAGAGTGTTTCATATATGTATTCACGTGTTGTAAGCTTTTATACGGGAAACATTCCTCACTGAATATGTAATTGATGCTTTGAAACCTTAAACAAAAACTGTGATTCTTGCCAAGTTCTGCCTCACTGAAGCATTATAAAGAGGTCTGAGAAAGTTCTTTGGCTTAGAACTCAATTCTGGTCATTTATATGCCTTAACCCAATCCCAGAAATACACACATTTGCTTGTTATGATACAAAAATAAATCCTGAACTGTACACTAATACTGCTAAAACAAAACAACACCAACCAAAAAAGCCACAAAAACCAATGCTACCCAGCCTCCTATACACAATTTTTTATTAACTTTTTAATATAAATAAAGCACACTGCTAATTTTAAATTTTTTATACCTTTGAGAGGGGTTTGTTCATATCCCACATTGTATGCTACTATAATTTCTAATTTAGTACAACACTTGGGCCGTGAAGAGTTGTAAATATTGATGTTTTATGGTTTGTGTAACCAAATTACAGACTTATTCAAGACGCCACACACAGTTACAAGAAGTAACATACTTCATATTTTATCCCCTACATAATTTTTCTCCAGAGTGCAAAAGCCCAAAGTTATAGGGTAGAAATTACTTTTGTAAACTATATAAAAATATAAAAACACAATACATTGTAACCTACACTCCTAGAGCATTAATTGTTTGATACTTTGATGATGACAACGACAATATTCCAAAAAAGATAGAGGTCATAGCTGGACCTTTAACAGCTGTAGACAATGATTCAAAATTATTCTTAGTCAACAAAAACTATATATAACAGCATCTCAGTGCCATGGGTTGCCTATCCCTAATGTATTTTTATTAATTGTGAGTCACAGTCAAAAAGGTTAGAATGAGACACTAGAGGCCCACTTAAGGGGCACCACCTCCCTCACGTGCATCTCTGGCCCAAGCATCTTAACCCCCCCTCTTGGTTAGGGGTTAGAAATGGTTAGTTAGACAGCACGTTTCCCAAACTACATATACTCTGCCCTGGTAGACAGAAGGTAAGGGCTTCCTCTTTGGCCCCACACAGGAAGTATCCTAACTAGGACCGGGATAACTTGCAAATCTCTGAGATACCAGTTGCCACAGACCCCCACCAAAGCGGCCCAAGCGACGTCAGTCACGTTACACAGGAATGTAGGGTGCTATTTACAATACAAGACGATACTCACCCAACACGTATGTCACAACCAGTCTTTCTATAACACTAGACGCGACATTACAACTTCACAGTTTAATTGCTCGTCTAAAATATAAAAATAAGTGCAATGTCTATTTTGAATTACTGCTCTAATACTATGTGCTGCAACTATTGTCCTATAAATGCAAATATCTAAACAGATTGACTTACTTATATGTTGCTAATACCGCTTTGTTACCTTGCAATCTACCGACAATGGCATGTACGTCTCTTAACGCACTGCAAAAATAAAGTATTAAAAAAAAAAAAAAGGTTAGAATGATAGAGGTGACCTAGCTCCGATACAATCCCTAGACGAATAAGACTAATGAGGTTTGCATCACTGATGCTCTAGTCCCAGCAGCTGAAGAGCTGGACATTCCATATTCTAAATTCAACCCCTATTGACCCTCATTGACCTTAAGAAGAGAGAGCGTTCTAAAACTGGATGTTGAGTAAATTTGCTTCCAAGTTATATACTAAGTTTAGTATTAATTTCCAAACACTGGAATATGATATGGCCACATAAACCTGAAAAACGGATGAATTTGTTGTTTTGTTGTAAGAAAAAAAAAAGAAAAACTACATAACTGTACATATCTCCCAAACACATTGTATATTTTACTGAATATCTCCTATACAGGAATATAATTTTATTAATCCACATTTTTTAGTACAAGCTATAGGCAGAGCTACTATATTTCACTTCAATAGAGACCATCGAAAATAAGATTATTTGCCTGTTTAATAAGTCAATTTTTAGAAATCTATTAGAAACCCCAGCTGAATATCTTATATACAGGTATATATATTTTTTCTAGCACAAACTAGATTTCTTTTGAGATACAACTCTAGTTTTAATGAGATGTACTCTTAAATGGAAAGAGGAACCCATCAAAGATCAATTCTTGATCACTCAAAAGATATAGATAGTGGCCTTCCTTTGATGTAAGCGATTGATTTTTTTTTCCCGAATCTCAGTAGGTCATAATGATCTGTTTGTCAGAAAATCCTTTATATTTCAAGTGTAAAAAAAACTCATCTTTCAAGGGTCAAGATCTAAGGTGAAATGGTCAGTTGTGTTCTCCATATAATTACAATCAATTGGTCATGTTGGGTAACCTTTATGAAGAAGGCAAACCAATTATCAAGATTGTTATCAATAAATCAGAATGTGAACAACAACAACAACAACTCAATTGTATTGGCTGGCCAACGCTATGAATAAAAACCGTTACCATAGCCACTTACACAAATAACCTAACACATTGCTCGTTTTCAACTTTAACAGACCTATTCAATAAAGTGATAATTAGAAGTGAATTCAAAACAAAATTCATTAAAGCCATAGAACCTGGAATGGAAGCATAGCTGACAAAGAATTTCTCTAGTTCAACTCGTTTTCTTAAATTTGAAATACACTTTGAGATCTCACTTTAGTTAATAACCCTGTCAGTTTATGACAGTTTACAGTTTACAATGCATGATGCCGTGAGAATAGAATAATACGGCGCAGAGTATTTATGTATGTTCTGCGTTTTTCATAAATTATATGGGACTGGAACTATTATTATACGTACATTATTTAGAATTATACAAACACTGTAAAGTGGAACTCTCAAAAATTGTAGGTTGTATTTGTTATTAAAATTACAGCTTAAAATGTATTTTTAGCCTAAATTTCAACCTACTTGCCACAGAGCATAATATTTCATGGACATTTTGATTTTACAACTACTTATCCTCCATTTTGTTTGTTGTTTTTTATACCAGTTTTAACCATTCCTGGCAGGGATACGGTTTTGAACAGGAGAAACTACATTACAAATCACTGCCCAGTCTTCAGTCAACATAGGTTTTATCTGGATGACGAATAGTGTGTAGCTTCACCCACTACTTACTAAGCACCAATCCAATTTGGTTCTTACACGCTCATCTTAAGGATACTCCTGCCATTTTTTATTCAACCACACCCCACACTTCTTAGTGAATATGCTAGCTTTAGAGACTGAGCTTGTCCCTTTAGTGTCCAACGTGCTCTTCATGTCCCTGTGAAAGGAGACTGGAAAGATTCCAGCTATACGTTTTAAAACAAATCTGGGATTCATGGATTCAGGAAGGCTTGAGAGATTTGTTAACATCAATGTGTGCATGCATGTGTTTTTCTGACACAGTCTTTTCCAGGCATTAAAAGTAAAAAATCCCCAATATTGCTTTATTTTAAAATTGATTTTCTGGAAATCTGCATCTTAAGCAGGGCGCAAGATGTTAGTACAATGCATACCCCATAAACTCATTGTGGCGAAACCGACCTCGCCACTGGGCATTGGAGAAGACTGATTGCCAGCCTCCTGCCATGTGACTATGGCCCCTGGGATGTATTGCCCTTTAAAGACATTATTTGGGCTTATTGGATTTTGAAACACTTTTTCTGCCCCTTTGAATACATGAGAAAGGTGTGCCCTTTCCCCGTTTCCTGTCTATTGTTCTTCAGCAGGGCGTTGTCCCAGGGACACTGCAAGACCAGTTGGAACTTGTTGCTAACCTTTAACCCCATGGCGATTTGACTGTGTTTGTGGGATCTGAGCGCTGTTGGGATATAGTGAGCGCTCAGATCCAAGCTATCTGGGGATAGGTTGAATGTGGGGTTCTGTTCAGTATGATAGGTATTATGTATTTTTATGTGTTTTTACTGTTGTTGTGAATAGAGCTATTTTCTGTATGCTGGAGATAATTGGATTACCACATCCAAGCCATGCTTGCAGATGGTCACAAAGGGACTTTTAACTAACTTTTGACCCACTTAACCAATTTGTATGAATTTGACATATGTTTGTATTTGGAGTATGCTAATTCTGAAAATGTAAGTTATGTGAATGTGATGTATACTTTCAGAGTTTTGAATATTGTGTAAAACTGTGTATTTTCCTGCCTGTGATAATTAAGTTAGACCATTGTGTTCAGTAATTCTATCACAGGCAGAGGGGAGGATTTTGTGTGTTTGAGTGTATTGTACGTATTGATTGGTTGTTCTGCAAAACCCTGTGGGCAGTACTATGTGTGTAAAATGTGCATAAAAGCAGAGTGTTTGATTAAAAGCTTCAGTTCTACTTCACCCTCAATTTGGAGTGCCGTCTCTTATTGGGGGAATCTGCTACAAGGGATTGCTATGCTTGTCATGCTCCCTTGCTATAATCACTAAGCTCTTGTAAGAGCTTGTTCCTGTCTTGCTCTCGCAAGGAGTCTACGGTGGTTATGGTGTCGGCTGGAGTGCTTGGAGCCCTCAGGAAGTGCTAGGAGCATCTTTCAATGGAGGTACCCAGTCGGGGTGCCCGTCAATCCGTTACACTCATACATAGCATGGATTTTAAGTCATGAGTATTTTTAAGTGAATACTATAGGGTCAGAAACACAAACATGAAATCCTGACCCTATAGTGATAAAACCACCATCTAGCCCCACTGATCCCCCCTACCCGCTAAATATGGTAAAATCATACTTTTGTTTAAGTCTGCAGCTGCTGGCTCTGCCCATGATCTGCCTTCTTGGCCGACATCAGCAGAAGTGATTCTCTCAGTCAATCTCAATGCTTTCCCATTGGATTGGCTGAGACTGTCAAGGAGGTAGATCAGGGGCAGATCCAGCACAAGCCAAGCACAGGCCTGGCCAAAGAGCATATCTTCATATTGATGCCATGAATCAATGCAGCACTGCCCCAGGAAGCACCTCTAGTAGCCATATGTGGAGTTATCACTAGGCTGTAAAGTAAACGCTGCATTTTCTCTGAAAAGACAGTGTTTATAGCAAAAGGCCTGAAGGGAATGATTCTACTCACCAGAACAAATACAATAATCTGTAGTTGTTCTGGTCACTATAGTGTCCCTTTAATTTAAAAAAAAAAGAATGAAAATACACAACATACTACAAGTTTGCAGAGTCACCTCATTCATGCTTTTTTTTTCACCAGGCCATGTTAAAACATTGTACATTTCATATATTAGGAGACTTGTTTCATTTACCTTCTCTGCATGAATCCATTTTAGTCAGATGTGGTCACAAGTCTTATTAACATACATAAAAGGCATTCATGGATCCATTAAGGAACATCAATTATTCTCTGTGTTAGAATAAACGTAACGTCTATCCAGTAGCTCTTGATTTCCATATTTAAAATGTCGAAAAATAAGAATGAATTATTGAATGTTTGTGATTTAAAATACACGATAGCTCATATGTCAACGTGTATTTATATATATTTTTCTGTGAAAGGCCCATACATCACGTTGAGGCACCTGCCACATTCAAAACCTTTCTCTTTCAATGAGACAGTTGCCTCACTCTCCAGACTAAAAAAAAAAATTTGATAACAAAAATTGTAATTACCTGTACTTGCTTCTTCTTTTCTTATGCTTTCCACACCCATTCCAGGGGGGGAAAGGGGAAGGGGGTAATCTAACCAATCAGTGTCCTATCCCTAAGAATGCTGGAAAGGTGCATTTGTCATGCCTCACAGATTTACACATGTGTGGCTGGAAGATCTCTTTACTTTTTGTCATCCTGACATGGGGAGAAGAGAGGGAGTCTGATCAGTGTAAATCATGCAGAGCAATCTCCAATGTCTTTCTCTTTCTGCTTTACAATGATGTCCTGGTTCTGTCATGTGTGGACTAGTCTGAAACTGAGATAGGTGGTTAAAAGGGAGGGTGGGGAGGCTGAAGAGCCTACCTCTCCCCCCGAGCTGAGGTTCATATCCAATTATGTAATCTGACCAAGTTCATAAACTTGGTAGTTTAAAAAAAAAAATACAGTATTGTCAAGTTTTGCAAGACCCTTTAAGTAGTTATTTACCCATAATTTTTCTGAACATTTAAAATAAAACTTAAATCTGTTATACATATGAAATACAATGTACAGAAACATGATTTTCAAGGCAGAGTATCGGATGACGATATTCAAACTTAATTCCACAATGAATGGAAATGACTGTTAAATGGTGTGACAATGACCATTGTAGTAATTAATAAAAAGTCAATATCAGGTCTATTTTTTTTAAAGTCAGAGCCAGATCCAAAGCTACAGTGTTACCCATTTCTCATAAAGTAATTTGGCTCACCAAAACTTTAACTAGAGGATATTGATGTAATAACTTTTTTCAACCAATGTTGTTTGTGCAGAATAAAACACATAGGCTACTGATAGCTGACCATTTGGTTATTGGGACATAGGCTACTGATAGCTGACCATTTGGTTATTCCAATTCTTTTGCACTATAGCTCCAATGATGGCTAACAAGATGAGTTTTATACAGGGAGTGCAGAATTATTAGGCAAATGAGTATTTTGACCACATCATCCTCTTTATGCATGTTGTCTTACTCCAAGCTGTATAGGCTCGAAAGCCTACTACCAATTAAGCATATTAGGTGATGTGCATCTCTGTAATGAGAAGGGGTGTGGTCTAATGACATCAACACCCTATATCAGGTGTGCATAATTATTAGGCAACTTCCTTTCCTTTGGCAAAATGGGTCAAAAGAAGGACTTGACAGGCTCAGAAAAGTCAAAAATAGTGAGATATCTTGCAGAGGGATGCAGCACTCTTAAAATTGCAAAGCTTCTGAAGCGTGATCATCGAACAATCAAGCGTTTCATTCAAAATAGTCAACAGGGTCGCAAGAAGCGTGTGGAAAAACCAAGGCGCAAAATAACTGCCCATGAACTGAGAAAAGTCAAGCGTGCAGCTGCCACGATGCCACTTGCCACCAGTTTGGCCATATTTCAGAGCTGCAACATCACTGGAGTGCCCAAAAGCACAAGGTGTGCAATACTCAGAGACATGGCCAAGGTAAGAAAGGCTGAAAGACGACCACCACTGAACAAGACACACAAGCTGAAACGTCAAGACTGGGCCAAGAAATATCTCAAGACTGATTTTTCTAAGGTTTTATGGACTGATGAAATGAGAGTGAGTCTTGATGGGCCAGATGGATGGGCCCGTGGCTGGATTGGTAAAGGGCAGAGAGCTCCAGTCCGACTCAGACGCCAGCAAGGTGGAGGTGGAGTACTGGTTTGGGCTGGTATCATCAAAGATGAGCTTGTGGGGCCTTTTCGGGTTGAGGATGGAGTCAAGCTCAACTCCCAGTCCTACTGCCAGTTCCTGGAAGACACCTTCTTCAAGCAGTGGTACAGGAAGAAGTCTGCATCCTTCAAGAAAAACATGATTTTCATGCAGGACAATGCTCCATCACACGCGTCCAAGTACTCCACAGCGTGGCTGGCAAGAAAGGGTATAAAAGAAGAAAATCTAATGACATGGCCTCCTTGTTCACCTGATCTGAACCCCATTGAGAACCTGTGGTCCATCATCAAATGTGAGATTTACAAGGAGGGAAAACAGTACACCTCTCTGAACAGTGTCTGGGAGGCTGTGGTTGCTGCTGCACGCAATGTTGATGGTGAACAGATCAAAACACTGACAGAATCCATGGATGGCAGGCTTTTGAGTGTCCTTGCAAAGAAAGGTGGCTATATTGGTCACTGATTTGTTTTTGTTTTGTTTTTGAATGTCAGAAATGTATATTTGTGAATGTTGAGATGTTATATTGGTTTCACTGGTAATAATAAATAATTGAAATGGGTATATATTTGTTTTTGTTAAGTTGCCTAATAATTATGCACAGTAATAGTCACCTGCACACACAGATATCCCCCTAACATAGCTAAAACTAAAAACAAACTAAAAACTACTTCCAAAAATATTCAGCTTTGATATTAATGAGTTTTTTGGGTTCATTGAGAACATGGTTGTTGTTCAATAATAAAATTAATCCTCAAAAATACAACTTGCCTAATAATTCTGCACTCCCTGTAGTAGCTGCCGTATTTTAAATCAGCTGCATTCCAAAGATTATCTATCACCGACATAACCTGATATTCTCATACTCTGTGAACTGGGTCGTTTAGCTTGGCTGCAAAATGCAGCTGCTCTAAAACTCTATATAAAATCATCTGTTAATAGCATTCCAGGAACTAGCAATTTAAGAAGTAGTGTCTGGTATATTAGTCTTTCAGTCTTGAAATTATATGTTTTTGTTGGACTGATTCACGTCATTTTTGATCCAGTATTTGTCAGCTCTTTTCAAAAAAGTATTCAAATGGCCCTTATCCACACGCATCACCTGCTACTTACGGTCCTTTTTTTTTTTTTGTAGCCAGACAGATATGCACAAGTGTCATTGCCTAAGCAAGTGTGGCATGCTTCAAACCACTGTCTGGTCCAGATGTCTGAATAGTGTCATTTTATAGGGAGGTTCTCCCCTGGCAGTTGCGCACAGAATCATTAATAAAGAAGGCATTCTATGGGCACCTGATGGACCTGACAGTGCTGAACAGTGTCTCTGTTGTAGCAGTAGATAGGGGAGGTATTAACTGGCATTACAGTGGCATTTGCCAGGTCTAACAGCTTCTATTGCTATGCATTTTAAATAAAAATCCTTGGCATTTACAGAAAGAATTTGGACATTCTAAATACACGACTTATGAATATTACAGACATATAGATACTAACATTTTATTTATTTAATTTCAAATTGTTGTAAATGTATAATTAATATTTTATTCCATTATTCCGTTTTTGTCCTGTGTCTCATTGGTGGTGGCTTAGACATAGAAGCGGCAAGTATGAATACCAAAATGCATACGCTTGCATTCTAAATCCTAAATGCAGGATCCCGTATTTTTTTTTAGCAAGCAAACATTAAATTTACCACTGGACAGCACCGATCCTGCCATGAACTACAGCTGCAAAATATTATAATGTTTACATTTATTTTTAGGTGAAAATAACTGGAATAAACAAAATCCAATGAAATAATGAAAAAAAATGTAGATTAAACATTATATCTAAAAACGGCAATAGTATATCAAACTAAACATTAGTAGTTGCTTCATATTATTGAGGTTGTAAAAGAAAATCACCATCACCTGAAAACTGGAAGCTGGAGGGTTAAATAAAGCAAATGACAACTGGACCCGTTAGCAGTATTCATTAGCTAATGAGGTGTAAGGTGATTAGCACACTAGAACAAGTTTTTTTTGTCCCCCAGTGTAATGGTACATCATCTATGGGTGAGGAAAAGAAAGAATAATTATACTAAGAATTTAGTGAGACAACTACAGTTAGGGGTGAGAAAAACATTCTTAGAATGTTCAATTGGTTAAAAAAAAAACACTCTAAACACCAGACAGCTACAGCGCACTGCAGTGGTTATGGTGCCAGGAGTTCTGTGGTGCCCTTCCAGTATGTGCACTGTAGTGATTGTGGTGCTTGGAGAGTTCCTTTAAGACCAGTTTGAACCAGTTATCAAGGTAATCAAAACAAACAAATCTTGTACCATCAAGCAATTTTTTTATGACCTCTTGTCTTTGGCATCTTAAAATATTGTATGTCTGACATCACAGGACCAGTATACTTGCACGATCATTATATTCATTCCTAATCCCCATTGTCTTCATAGAGTAGAAAATATGAATCTCCTTCAGTTCTTGTGTTCTTATGTCCTGACAGAGCGGAACACTATGTAGAGCTGCAACGTTTTCTTTGAAAGCTAGACCAAGCTGCCAGAATAATTCATGGATTAATTACTGTGGTGCCACTTTAAATTTAGACTGTTAGCTAAAGAATATTAGCAAACTGATCTGGAGTAGTTCTGTGGCACAGTTTGTATTTTCCTACTCCATGTTTGCCCTAATACCCCCAGTCTGCATATCTGAGTGTGGTTGAGTCTAAAATAACTAATACGCTTTGCATGTCTTTCTGTTTATGATCACTTTCCAGCCAATACCAGAGCTAAGCAACGTCCACACTTGTTTAACCATGTTCCTACGCTCTTTGATATGTAATATGCCACGAACCATTCATCTCTTTTGTGTATTCCCTCTAACGTCCGATTTCTTTGTCAAATTTTCTCTGATTCCTAGAATTAATCAATGTATTAGTACCAGACTGGTGTTTGTTTCACTATCCTTTCCGGAGTGTTTTCATTATATACCATAGTGAATGCATTTTACTTCACTAAAGGGCATGTTCACCAGGACAGGACCAAGTCTTGGAGTAAAGTGCTACATATGATACAAATTACCATCGAAATTAGTCAAATGTGTAGCACTTTCCTCCGAAACAGGCTGCTGTTTTACTATGATAAATATGTTTATGTCTCTTATCTTTGTATATTCTGTCTAAGTCAACTCTTGCCTGGTTTAGGTGACTGTGAGGTGGTCGATTGTCATTTGTAGAAATTACATTAGAAACACACTGTCGAAGCTCTCACTGAAGGAAGCTCTCACTGACGAAGCTATTGTAAACTGAATGTTAAGAGAGTTCAAATATAAGAGATACAAAATGCATAGGATAACCTATGCCATAGTAGGTTAGAACACTCTTCTATGAGATTGTCCATGATATCATGGAGTGTGTGATACTGAGGAGATGAGCATGGAATAACATCAGATACTTAAATTGGGAATGGTGGGATTTGGTTCTGGAACTTTTCAACTTCTAGTCCTACTTTTTACGTTTGGAGGGGAATTTCATAATGTATGACTGTTTCCATACAATTGGATAACATTTCAAAGCGTCAGCCTAAACTACTCTTCCTGAGGAACTGCACTCTCTTTACTCTTGTAAATAATTATAATACTTTTTATAACTGTAGAAGAATTCGGATGAAGAATTCAGTTAACAGTGGGGCCCTTCAGATTGCTGAAGCACATGCAGACTCGGTGGCTAACGGGCTCAAAGCAAATGAATTGATTAATGATATCTCACCAGTGTTTCTGAAATGTTTACACAGCAGATAATTTCATGTATTGCTTTGGAGAAACGAAAACAGCCCATTGTGAACTCAGCAACCCATTTAAAATGTAGACATTCTGGACAACCTTGAAGGGAGTAAATGACATGAGCCAGGGACTCCCACCAGAGGCCACCATAATCAAATAGAATACGAGGACTTCACTTGAAATCTAGAATTGTTTATTTATGAGCATGGAGAATTATAAAGCAATGTTATCATCCTCACAGATCTTTATAAAGCTTATGGCCAAGACCTTGTTTCTTCATTCATTGTGGATTCAGTGACAGATGAAAACCAGGCCAACGTGTATGCATGCACATATGCAAACGAGGCCAAAGCACACCTTACGGGTATTTGGCACACATTCCCAAAATATCAGTCCATGACCTTATAATCTGTAATAAACATACATTACATAAAACTATTGTACCTGTCCTAACACTCATCTTTTCAAGATATGTTGCGTTCAGAATGACAAGGGCACACCCATTCAGAAATAGAATTATTCAATTACGCAATGCCCTACTGGCACTTTCAGATAAAATGTCTTCATCGATACACATATTAAGACAAAATATACTCACACTAATCACCACACCCAGTTCTGATCTATTTATCATGGAAATTATCTTCTGGTTTTCAATATATTCAGATTAGAATTTCTGCCAGACACTGACCCAGACCAATTCCGGTATGTAATATTTATGGTTCTCAGTGGACTAATTGCAATGCAATCTATATTACTATTTCTTTATAGTAAATATATGTCATTGCTGATTAAATGAGGGACACAGGGCCAATCGCAGAAAGCAGCAAATGTGCGTCTAATTTGAACAATTCATTTAATGCCACAAATAAATGGACCACAAGTATTCAATTTTTTCTCAAAGAACACACATATTGAACGTTTTGAATAGGTCTCTCATCTCAAACCATTGATGAGGGGGTCACACAGCACATAATGCTTAGCAAACAGATACTTACATATAGCCATCTACTGTATGAGGACCCACTTGCTGCTAGGTGCTTTAACTCCGAACATAGGTTACAGTTCTCAAAGAAAGGGTAGTAGAGACACCCCTTCTATGGTCATCCTAGTAATATTTCTCTACCTACTTCGAATAAATATCTCAACCAATCTTTAATGAAAACAGTATTAGCCAGAGAACTGTTATTGGTGAATTAACAGATCAGGTTGCATGGGTTTCATACAAGCTTAAAATTAAGCCTACCATTTAAATTGCATTTTTTTTCTCAGTAAACCGATGATTTATTCTGCAAAGTTCACATAAAACTGTCTGACACTTATCCAGGTGTGATTTTAATGAGAGAAAGATAAAGATTTATCAAACATTCATAGGTTTTAAGAATACAATACTTGCTAAACGGATAAAATAAAACTACAGTCTCTTTCCCTTGGATGTATCATTTTATAGTTGGCAGATTTTAGAAATCTTTTACTGCACTCACTAATCTTATAGAGATGTCTGGCTGAATATAAAAGTATTACCATAGAACCAGTATGAATCAATAAACTCCAACATGAAAGGTACGATCCAAACTACACTGGAAATTGTGGCTAGACTATACAGGAAGCAGATAGGTTTACTGATTACCTGGCTCATAACACAATCAGGTTTATTCACTAAAACGGCAAATTTTCAGGAATTCAAAGTAAATTTGACTAGATCTTCAAATTTTATTTTAAATAGCTGATTTGGGAAAATTCTCCAACTTCAGCTATGCTTTCATGTTAGATACTTTGGCATTACATTTAAAATTCAGTTTGAATTATCACTTTATTAAGATTTAGACTCTGATATCCAAGAGATACTATTGTGTTATAATTATTAATTTCACAAAGATGTATCTATTTCTATCCTGTACCTTGCACAGAACATCATATAAAATATAATGTATTTAAATGAACACTATAACGTTAGGAACACAAATGTGTATTCCTAACGATTTAGTGCACTAATGACCGTAGGTGACCGGTTTTTACTTATGTTTTCTCCTTCACAGTGCTAGACTCCTCAGGGAAGCTCTGCCTCTTTAGATGAAATCTTTAAGAGTAACGATTTAGCTCAATCCAATACCTTCCCATAGGAAAGCACAATGAGGCTAGTGCGCATGCACAACAGAATGCACTTGTGCACCAATCAGATGGTTTATCTGAAAACATTTTATTGAATTAGTATTGAATTACTCCACTATTTCACAAAAGTGCTCCATGTGGCTGTCAATATAACAGCCATTAGAGGCAGGTTAACCCTGCAAAGACCGCATTGCCGTTTCTGGAGAACGGCAATGTTTTCAGCTGCAGAGATAAAACGGTGGTGGGGGGGGGAGGGGTGGAGAGGGACATGGCACCAATACCACATAATTGAGATGAAGTGATCTGGGTGCCTATAGAGTCCCTTTAATTTAAACAGACTACAGGTGATACTCGAAAAATTAGAATATCGTGCAAAAGTTCATTTATTTCAGTAATGCAACGTAAAAGGGGAAACTAATATATGAGATAGACGTATTACATGCAAAGCAAGATAGTTCAAGCTGTAATTTGTCATAAGTGCAATGCTTATGGCTTACAGCTCATGAAAACCACAAATCCACAATCTCAGTAAATTAGAATTTTACATGCAATCAATAAAACAAGGAGTGTGCATACAACAATATCGGACCTCTGAAAAGTATAAGCATGCATATGAACTCAGTACTTGGTTTGGGTCCCTTTTGCAGCAATTACTGCCTCAATGTGGCGTGGCATGGCAGCTATCAGCCTGTGGCACTGCTGAGGTGTTATGGAAGACCAGGATGCTTCAGTAGCGGCCTTCACTTCTTTTGCATTGTTCGGTCTCATGTCTCATCTTTCTCTTGGCAATGCCCCATAGATTCTCTATGGGGTTCAGGTCAGGCGAGTTTGCTGGCCAATCAAGCACAGTAATCACACGGTCATTGAACCAGGCTTTGGTGCTTTTGGCAGTGTGGGCAGGTGCCAAGTCCTCCTGGAAAATGAAGTCTGCATCCCCATAAAGCTCGTCTGCGGAAGGAAGCATGAAGTGCTCCAAAATCTCCTGGTAGATGGCTGCATTGACCCTGGACTTAATGAAGCACAGAGGACCAACACCAGCAGATGACATGGCTACCCAAATCAACACAGACTGTGGAAAGTGCACACTGGACTTCAAGCATCTTGCAGTGTGTGCCTCTCCATTCTTCCTCCAGACTCTGGGTCCTTGGTTTCCAAATGAGATGCAAAAGTTGCTCTCATCAGAAAAGAGGACTTTGGACCACTGAGCAACAGACCAGGTCTGTTTTTCTTTAGCCCAGGTAAGACGCTTCTGACGTTGTTTGTTGTTCAGGAGTGGCTTGACAAGAGGAATACGACATCTGAATCCAATTTCCAGGATCCGTCTGTGTGTGGTGGCTCTTGATGCACTGACTCCAGCCTCAGTCCACGCCTTGTGAAAGTCCCCAACACTTTTGAATGGCCTTTATGTAAGCCATAATCATCGCATGACAAATCACGACTTGAACTATCTTGCTTTGCATGTAATGCGTCTTTCTCATATATTAGTTTCCCCTTTTACGTTGCATTACTGAAATAAATGAACTTTTGCATGATATTCAAATTTTTCGAGTATCACCTGTATGTCATGATAGCCTATTTTAATCTTCCAGTCATGTTAGTTATACAGTCTGCTAGATGAACAGATATAGATTTCCGTTCTCTTTTCCATGTGTAAGACTTGCTATAGAATGTCTGACAAACTCCACGCTGCAGTTAAACAAGACCTTATTAGGGAGCCCTACATTTTTAGAAGAAATGTGTTGGCTACTATTTCAGTGGTGATACCTGTCATGGTGTCTCAGAGTACTGATAGATAGTGTCCCCAGTTGTCTGATCCCAGAAGCTGTGCTGGGTGACAGCAAAGAACAGTCTTCCATGTAAACCACCCTCTGGCCCACCATCAGTGGCGTACACACAATCCATGGGGCGCCGGTGCGAAACTGATCCGTGGGCCCTCTCCTCCCTGACCATGGCCCCCCCACAGACACACACATACAAACACATACACACAGACACACTCCCCCCCGACAGACACATACATACATACACACTCACAGATACATACATAGACACAGACACACATACATACACACATACAGAGACACAGACACACACATACATACACACATGCAAAGACACATACATACACACACACATACATACACACATACAGAGACACAGACATACATACATAGACAGACACACACACACACATACAAAGATACAGACACACACACATACAGAGACACACACACACACATACATACACAAAATGTTTCCTACCTTGTGTGACTTTCCCTCGGGGGTGGCTCAGCCTGATGGGAGTCAGAGTTCCTACTCTGACTCCCTCCTCCTTCCTGTTTACTCCCGTGTGGGTTCTCAGGGTCTCGCTGTTAAAGCGCCCAGCGCAGACCGGGCCCCCTAATAATCTATCTCCATCGGGTGGCCCTGACAGAATGGGCCACCCGATGGACCCCTTAACATGCGGCCCCAGTGGTTTGCAAAACGTGGAAGGTGGTACCCGGTCGCGGGGGTCCGCAGGGCCCACCATGATGCTGCGTTTGTAATCTACAGGATTTAGGAACTGGCCTTCGACTGGGACCCATACACCAAAGAACAATGTACATAGCACAGTAATGCTAGAAATCTTCAAAAGTTAGAAATAAATCAATTGAACAAAAATCCATTTTAAGATGTTGCAACAAGTGAATACAAGCATCAGTTTATTTTGTTGATCCTTTATTTAACATTTTTATATACAACTTTCTGCCCACCAATTGTTGATGATTTAGCTCGCACAACACCAGCCCACTCGTCGCAAACAGAGCAGTAGGGAAGTTGTAATTCTACAACATCCGTGGATCTACCTTTTGGGCCCCCCCAGCTTTAAATCATCAGATGCTTTAGCACAGGGTTCTACAAACTCTGGCCCTCCAGATGTTGCTAAACTACAACTCCCATGATTCTCTAGCTATCTATTCCATTCAAACAATCATGAGAGTTGTAGTTTAGCAACATCTGGAGGGCCAAAGTTTGTAGAACCCTGTGCTAAAACATCTGATGATTTAAAGCAGGGGTGCCCAAAAGGTAGATCCCCGGATGTTGTAGAATTACAACTTCCCCAATGCTCTGTTTGCGACGAGTGGGCTGGTGTTGTGTGAGCTAAATCATCAACAATTGGTGAGTCAGAGCTTGGAGAACCCTTGGAAAATTTCTTGATTTTCCATCCAGCTTCTTCCAAAAACTGTGTGGATACACAAGAGAAACTAAAACAAATGGTCAACAGCAGACATTCAGGAATAATTAACTGGTTAATGATTTGGTTTTACACTGTGAAAAGAAAAAAACTGCATAACAAAATTTTATTTACAAGGTCCCTGTAGTATAGAATGCAGCATTTTTCCCATTCAGAAGGAATGTCTCACGCTTTTAACAATCCCATTCTAACTGAACACAAATGGTAAATCATTCCCTTGTATTTACATAAGACAGTCAAGGTTATTGCTTACTTTTTATGCAGCTAGGCTTTGCATGGCTATATATTATGAAGGCTGAGGGAGTTACTGCCTATTTAACTTCAGACCACTAATACTCTGCTCAAGAAATCTTTCTACAGGATGTTCAAACTCACTAAAATTTACAATGAAACACAATCGTTATAGAGAAATACTGGTTACAAGAGTAGACGGTCTAAAATTTCTCAAGAGGAAGCTTTTCGTCCGTGGAAAATTAAATTATAGAGTAAAACACTGAAAATCACCTAAAGCTACTTTTTCATTTGATGCCCTTTTATTTTAACTGTACATGAAATAATTAGCAAGTGATAGCACAATGCAGTGCAGTCCTGAGACAGTCAGGGCACATTGTATCAGAAAAGGAAAACTGAAACATTGTTTGCATTACTCCACCTCTACATATTGCGTCCAATGAGCGAAAAGAACAGAGCTTATAATAATGATTGACCAGGAGCCAAGATGAAGGTGCTCAGTTTCTAGAATAGAGGTGAGTACAGAGGTGCAGATTTTTACAGCTAATTTTACTTTTTCAGACCTCACAAATTCATATATGTTAAACATGTGAGAAAAGTAAGTGTAATATTAGAAGTTCTTGGAAGTGAGTGCTACCATAAAAATATCTTGCAGTACTCTAGCAATCACGTTCTTAAGAGCATTTGATGAACAAGTAAATAATGCATTTTGAATTGTCATACTATGCGGACAGTAGCTTGTGGGCCTACACACAATTCTCCAGACCCACTCCATAGGTACAAGAAGAAGATGTGCATATCACACCCTGGTTATTAAGTCAACCTCCTTCTATTTTGAGATGATGTAGGAATGGAAGCAAGAGTAGACTACACATGGAATATTGTAAAGTCTCTAATACAGTTCACATATCACATATAGAATATGAGAGTTGCTTTGACTATACCAAAAAATTGGCCCAGGCATTTGAAGGTAGAGCAGCCCAACAGGAGGGGTGAGGTCATGTCTTCACCAATGATGTACATGTCCTCTCAAAGAGAGTTTGATGTCCCTCCAGGGAAAACCCCTTCTATTTGAACTTTAATTACATACGAGAGGTTGCTGTAGGGTCTAGCAAACTATTAACAGAACAGGAGAAAAATAAATTCTAAATTAAACAGAATTTGCAATAAACAAATGTAAACATTAGATGACTCTTTACAGGAAGTGTTTAGGAAGGCTGTGTCAGTCACGTTCAGGGGGGTGTGGTTAGGGCTGCATAAACAAAGTGATTTAACTCCTAAATGGCAGAGAATTGGGAAGTGAGACTGCCGGGGCATGATCTATATGCCCAAACTGCTTCATTATGCTTAAGGTGTTGTGGTGAATATAGTGTCCCTCTAACATGGTAAAATGGAATTCCCCACTACCCAGAATAATCAGCCATTCAGCACGAGTAGAGTTAATGTTATGAATATCACTGCTTTGTCTATATATAGACAAAACATGTACACTATTACAAATCAATATATGTCATTTGAAATGAGGGAGAGATCTGCTTTTATTTTGTATGAAACATTTTATTTTGGCATTTCAAAAACTAAGCCAACTATGTAAACGGAGATGACTCACTTACATGATTGTATATCGGGCACAATCACCGCTCAGGAGAGATTATCATTATTCTGCCCAATTTGTGCAATACAAAGAAAACATGCATACCGGTTTAATCCTACCAACAGACTTGGCCCTGTAAACAAAACACAGAGGTAGTGTCCCTGCATGAAGAGAACAGGAACCCCAGACATGAATCTACAAGCCTATTAATGGCCTCGTAAGTGAGGTATGATTGTATTCATCTAAGCATTAGGGGTACATTACTGGACCACCATTGTGGGTGCTCCCAGTCAAATTATCATGCACTCCAGCTTAAGTGAAGGTAGTTACAAACAGGCGTAACATGCCCAAGTACCTCGCTGATGATATGCTAGAACACATGCCTGTGTAGTCGCTGTGATCCATGTGCCTAACGTTTCGGGATCAGTATTTCAATCACTGGTCATTCAGTGTGATATGCATGTAGTTATAGTCACCAAAGTGCCAGTTATGTAATGGGAAACACCATTAAACTGAGTCAGTTCTTGGCCACTAGTTGGTCTTACTTAAAGGGGCAAAAAACCAAAAAACTCAAAAACATTTATTTCTGCCTGTAATTTCATGCCTACAATTGGAAGGCAGCAGTTAAAGGAATCTGCAGTCTTGTGTTTTAGATTATCGAGCAGAAGACAGATCCCACTGGAACTCTTTTCAGCAAAAATGCTTGCACAGCTTCAAGATACAAAAGCCTTATTGTTCCATATGTTTTTAAAGTTCGTTGGATGAAAAACAGAGCAGGGATGGAATGGAAAAGGGATTCTCTCTGTTACTATTTATGTAACCCCATAAACTATCACAACTGCAATGTCAGTGAAGACTGAGATGGTAATAACATTATGTTCCGAGGCAGAATAATAATAATCAGAAACTATGCGGTGTATCTACTGAACAGCAATTTGCTGTGAATTTGCAAATCGGTGGTTTACATTTTTTTTGTAACTTAACCGCTATCATGGTTTGCATTTTGCAAAAAGGTTGCCATCACAGCTCATTGTTTAGCGAATGGATCTATTTATTTTTTAAATGATCTGTTGAGATGATAGTAAATACTTTTTTCCATTGCTTTTCCTGTTAACAACTAATGTCAAGATGGAATCCTCTGTTAATAGATTCAGGTAATGCTTATCTCCAAGACTCAAATGGTTATTCATTATGACCATTATTCGTAAGGTGTATAAGGCACACACTTCAAATGCCTGCAAAGCCACATCCAGGTGAACCACAAGGTGAGGTAGAGCCACGTGGAGGGTGGCAAAGTTTAGAGAGGTTGGGGAACTGCCCCTAAAACCTTTCTAACCCCATGAGAAGCCGTGTGCGTCTACAGTCATCAATAAAAGGGAGAATGGAAAGTGCAGATATAATCACGACAGACACATATTTTATAACTCACACTTATCATTAGACCTTACAATACCAATAAATAATTGATTGATTTATTTTTAAATCGGGGGGCCCCACCCCACCTGCATCTATGGACCAACCTCCACTGGTAGGGTCACGGAGACTTTCCAAGCCTGATGTTTTTCACTTGCTACTTTACCAGGGCCACTGACCACACTGCCAGTGCCATCTTCACAGCATTATAGGCCCCCAAGCAAAGCAGTGAACTGGGGCCCGGCCTATACAACCACTCACAGAAATAAAAATCTATCCATAAAATTAAGTTTATATTTATTGGTGCCTCTAACAAATGCAATACATACATACACACACACACACATTTCTGAATACACACAGACAGACTTCTAAATACAGACACACTGTACACACAGATTGACACACTCACACACACACGGATTGATAAATACACACAGACTGCAGTGAGGAATGCAGTGTGTGTGTGGAGGGTGCAGCGTGTGAAGGGATGAAGTGTGTGTGTGTGAGTGGGTGCAATGTCTGAGGGGGTGTACTGTGTGTGTGAGGGAGTACAGCATCTAAGGGTGTGTAGTGTGTGTTTGAGGGGATGCAGTATGTAAGGGAGCGCACTGTGTATGTGACGGGGTAGAGAATGTGTGAGGGAGTGCAGCGTGTAAGGGGGTGGTGTGTGTGAGGGAGTGCAGTGTATGCAGTGTATGCAGAGGTGTAGTGTGTGAGGCAGTGCAGCGTGTAAGGGGGTGGTGTGTGTGAGGGAGTGCAGTGAATGCAGAGGTGTTGTGTGTAAGGTGGTGTGTGAGGGGGTGCAGTGTGTGTGTGAAGGGGTGCAATGTGTGAGTGAGTGTAGTTGTGTGAGTGAGTGCAGTGTGTGCAGAGGTGTAGTATGTGAGCGAGTGCAGCATGTAAGGGAGTGGTGTGTGTGTGTGAGTGTATATGAGTGAGTGGTGTGTGTCCAGAGGTGTAGTGTGTGCAGAGGTGTAGTGTGTGAGGAAGTGCAGCATGTAAGGGAGTGGTGTGTGTGTGTGTGTGTGTGTGTGAGAGAAAGTAATGTGTTTGTGTGTGAGAGTGTAATGTTTATGTGTGAGAGAGTGTAATGTGTGTGTGAGGGGGTAATATGTGTGTGAGGGGGTAATGAGTTTGTGTGTGAGGGAGTAATGAGTGTGTGTGTATGAGGGAGTAATGAGTGTGTGTGTGTGTGTGTGTGTGTGAGGGAGTAATGAGTTTGTGTGTGAGGGAGCAATAAGTGTGTGTGCAAGGGAGCAATAAGTGTGTGTGTGAGGGAGCAATGAGTGTGTGTGTGTGTGAGGGAGCAATAAGTGTGTGCGAGGGAGTAATGAATGTGTGTGTGAAAGAGTAATGAGTGTGTGCGAGGGAGTAATGAATGTGTGTGTGAGGGAGTAATGAGTGTGTGTGTGAGGGAGATTAATACTATGTTGGAGTACTTGTCTGCTGATGTATATAATAACAATGAAGGTCAAGATTCAGATCAACAGATACACTAGGGCAGAATGACCCAAAAACTAGTCATTGTCTTCTTCTACAAATGAAAATGCAATTGGGTGTTGCTAGGTAAGATGCTTTGCACTTGACGGAGCTTATCTGACATAAGGTAATATTGTGGCTTCTGTTTCCCACAGTTTATGTCAGGTTTAGTGGTCCGTGTTACAGATGTAAATGAGGATAATGGTACATGATGCTCTGCAAAATAAAATCATCTTGATCCATTTTACCTTATGTTCTGTGTCCAATGCCTAACTTAGTGTTCTAATTAAAACATATTCCATAGAACTTGTCACAAGGGATTAACCCAACCAGCTTAGAATGAGGCACAGCGCGCATGCATGTGTGACATCTTACATCACCCTGCTTATTTTCAATCATTCACCAATACAAACACCCAGCATGTATACAAGGATGCCGATACGCAGGTCATTGTGCTATATCAAAGTGCATTGCTACAATATATATTAGTGTTTTCCACACTCCCACCAATGTGTTTCAGAGCTCTGGCATTATAGAAAATATTATGATTCTTAATTTGCTCCACATTGTAAAAAGTAAAATAAAATAAAACAGATTTTTCTTGAAATCCATGCCTGCAAAACTCATTCATCCATTACTTGGTGTTCTAGTGAGTGAAGGTCGAGTACTGGAAAACATTAAGCCTATGCTTACATTTCCCAAGGTAATACTTTAAGTTATGCAAAATGCATAAACATGACTAAAAACAGGAGAGAAACAGTTGCACCTTAGTTCAAGCAACTCATTAAATAATTAAAATATGAAAATATATTTAAAATATCTAATCTGTGGGACAAACCACGTGGGTGTTTTCCTTGAAGCAAATGAATCACAACAGCTCCAGAAGAGGCCTCCCAATCGTCCCAATTTCAGACAGTCTCGGTTTTAGTGTTCTGTCTCACTGTCCAGGGTTTGTTCCCAGGACAACACCAGGGAATTGTCCCAAAAGTATAGCACATGTGCATCATTAGACATGCTCACACTACACGAAGGGCATTAGGAGAGCGCGCACACAGTCTAAGAAAGTTCAGTCAATGGAAATCTTTTACCTCTCTCTCTTATTCCGCCATCCTATGTTAGATTACATTCCATGATACTTCCCCTACTCTTGTACACCCCAGTCCTCCTTTTTGACATCCCATACTCCCTCCTTCCCCCCATCCCACCTCAGATTGACGCATTTGCAGCACTCTGGGTACATGTCCTGAAGGTCCATCAATTCTTCTCAGTGAGAGGCATTTGATAGTACCCTGACCAGGAAGAGGAGGACGTGGTGTGACGACAGGGAAAATCTTCATGGACAATATTATTCTGGCTAAAACAGGTGGTGGGGGGACCTAAAGAGAGATGCAATATGACACTAATAAATTATTATTAGTGAAAATATAAAATCGAGGTGGAGTAAACCTTTAGTTGAGTAATTTTAATTTTCTGGAACTCGTCGGTTCACCAGATACTCTTTTGCTGCAAGTCCTATTTCTTCCCCAGTCAACCAAATCAGCTTTTGGGCTTCCATTCCTTATTTTATCCAGAAATAATGAGATCCTTCCATTTTTTATGTAATTTTCATGGCTTATTTCCATCACAATAATGCAGCAAAAACAATGGTGCAATACTTATAAATCTCAGCTAAATATTCTGTCCATTGAAGTAAATGTAATAAGTCTTGAGATGAGTCGAACAAGCCTTGACTGCTCATTAGATCCATCTCTCTTTCACCAGGAGAACAGAAATTGATTAGCTGCTGTGTTAATATCCCTGGAGGCTAATCATAATGACACTGGTGTCAGCTAGGCAGGCAGGCAGGCCTTTTGTAAATTATTTCAAGATAGACAAATTTACAGATAAATATATGCTGGCATAACGTGCGTTGGGTTAACCCTTTGCATGCTATAAGAACAGATTTAATCAGTTAAACTACAAACAATGATGTAACTTGTCATAGTTTATTTTCTGTAATAGTGAAAGTGTGCAGAGAAAATAACACATATCAATTTAATGGTAAGTCAATGGTTTTTGAAATTAACATTCACTTAAGAAAAAACAAAATGTAATTTTAATCACAAAGCGTCAAGGGTTAGCTTTCCTTTGGCCTGTAATTAGTAGGGCCAACATGTGTCCCCTGTCAGATGAAGTGGTAAACAAATTCAACAAATTGTCATTAGGTTTCCACCAAGTTATGGAAATCTGCAAGGTGTTTAGCGCTGGAATCCATAAGGCCTCAGAACCATGGCAAGATTTTTTTTTGGGGGGGGTGAGGTGAGGTATGTTTCGGTCCCTCTTGGCCCATTGTAAATAGGTTCTATTAGGTTTGGTAACATTACTTCTTAAAGATAGTGTATTTAATATTCAATATGTTATTATATTGCCAGTTAGTTTAAGTATGGAATACTATACATGAAGATTGTATAGAAGAGAGATAAAGGGTGACTTGCTAATATAATATGATTAACCATTGTTTTTTTATATTAGGATTATATCAGCTTGTACTCAAATGTAAGTAGCAAAGTTTTTCTGTTGATTGATCTATGAGCATGCTGTACAGGGAAACATTTTGTTTGAGGGAGCCGAAAGCTCTCCGGCTCAGCTAAGCCCAGCATTGCGAGGGTTAGCTCATTGGCCGAGAATGATCAGCTGACGCTCTCAGCCAATGAATTACTGCAGGAAATGATATCTCCTAAGCAGAAGCCCCCAGTTCTCTGGCTGATGTAGTGGAAGCGGGGAGAGGCACTTGATGGACACCAGGTAATAAATCAAACCATTCTAAAACAAAATGACTACTTAAATGGGGAAGGTAGGGGCCATGGTACTTCTGGTGCTATAACCACTAGAGCGTGCTATAGTGGTTATGGTGTTTTGGGTGTTCCTTTAAGGAACTATTAATCATTGAGATTTTCTATGTTTTATTTGCATTGGCTAATTGATCAGACTATCTAATTCAATAAGGATTAATGCAACACATAGTCAAACATCTACCAACATTATCATTCACAAACGTGGGAATTAAGTGCTTTTCCAAGGGACAGGGTAGACAAGCTGATGTTTATGAGAGGCTGCACTAACACACTAAGAGAATATGTAGCAACAAGCAAAAATATGTGAGAAAAGCTGTTTTTCATTACAAAATGATATAAAAAAAATATGCATGTTATCTTTTTAAATGGCTGCGAATTCTAGTAAAGTGATTACATTACTCACACATACACATGTATACAAATACATCAGGGAGTTGGAAGATCATTTGGTAGAATTTAAGTGCCAGGCAGATATGTAAGGCATTTTGGAGAATTGACAAGGCCAAGTGAAGCAAAATATTTTAAGACGATAAACCGGTAAGTGTTTCTGTCATCAATCAATTCAGTCTTAATAGTACCCACACCTACAATTTTGCAGTAGCTTTATATTTGTTTTCCAGGAATAATGAATCCTAAATTTAGTTTATATATGTAAATGTATATTTGTGTCTTTCATCACATACATTGCATGTACCCATGATAAATATCAACCATTTTTGCCTAATTTCCCTATTTAAATCAAATTAAAAACAACAATCTGTGAAGACTAAGCACCATGATCTAAAGTTACATCTGCACACATTTTGATCAATAGGGTAATAATAATACTGTCTTGTTATAGAATTCCTTTGATGAAGAGGAATGACACAGTGAAGGGGACTTACTGATTAGTTCTTTATTTAGTGTAGTGATTCATATCTAAAATTCCGTTCCAAATTCTTTGCAAATGAATGAACCTTGAAGCATTTTTACAAGATCAATCAAAGCTACCATTATTGTCTATGGTGTGTCAATGGTTTTGATAATAGCAAAATATACGTATTAACACCCTAATTGTTATATAGGCCAAGGCCTGGGATGGCTAATTTAGTTTTCAGATAAGAGAGTTTAGTTTTCTCAGATTTAGGCTAGTCAACAAAAAAGCTGGGCTGCATAGCTTAAACATTACTAATATAGACCAATGTGTAGCACCAAATGAATCTGTGTGTCTTATGTGAGACAGAATTACCAAAAATATATGACGTTCCTCACCCTGTAAGCTCGAGAATAATTAATATTTCTTGGTTTAAAATGGATGCCTTCCCAACAAATGGTGAATACAAAGAAACAACCTCCAAGTGATACGGGATAGATTTAATTAGATCTAAAAGCTTCTGAAAGGGATTATGTAAGCAATTTTAAAGTGATTAGACATCTGTAAAATATCTTTTTACTGGAATTAAGATGGACGGGTTTGACTGAATACATGAGAACTCTTCCAAAATTAAAATATTTCTGGGTGTATATTTTTAACAGAGGCTAAAAAAAAAAAAAAGAAAGAATAAAATAAGGAGAGTAATGTAACTGGAAAATAAATTATCTTGTCAGTACCAGAGGTCTCAAGACTTTGAAAGTTTAAATAACTTTTGTCTTGGAGTGACTATCTGATGTGAGAATGGAAGCTGTTGTGTCACTAACATTATAGGCTGTCACCTCTCTTGTGTTGTTTATTTTTATTTTTTTTGTCTTCATTTTTTTACGTTTTAGGCTGTTGTCATGATACCGAAGGGGTTAGCTGTGTTTTGTTGACAAGGCATCTTTCCCTTTGATTTTACAGGCTTGCCCTGGCCTCAAATAAAAGCAAAATTGTCTACTTTGTTGTCTGAACTGTGTACCTTACTTCTGAGTGCTTTAACCCCAGGCATATTTGTATGTTACATACTAGGCCGGTGTGGGCATGCTATTTATAGCTGCCACTCTCGGAGCCTCTTTTGTTTTTGTACAATACATGTAATGAGCCCTAAATCATGCTCAGGGCTATTAACGCAGTTGATCTGACAGTGCAAAATACCAGTAGGTGTTAAAGTATCTCCGATTACACCTTTATTTTCTAATCACACCTGTTGCTTTTCTCTGAAGCCATGAGAACTAATTACGACACGGTCATTATTGCTCCTCTTTAGTCTGTAGATTTTGGGATGGCCATGGAGATACAATGCCAAACAATGACACATCTGAATGTGATGCAACCCATGTTGTCATACAGGTTATCTTTAGTGCAAATTAATTATTTATAATAGTCACAACAAAAACACCATTCAAATGAGTTGCAAAGTTCACTATATTTCTGTATATAAAATATATAGATATGTATCTATACACACAGCTACATGTATACAGCACACATTAGCTACAACATCCCTGCCTCGTGCCATAAATGATGTTACCCCAGCCTTCAAATTATTGGTTACTTTGCCCCTGCTTGCACAATGCCACTTTGTTTGATTCACTAGCAGTGGACAGAACAATATTCACCCTCTGCCGGGAATCACAAGAGCAGGAAACACATATGCATTATATATGTGTGTCCTGGGGGACCGAGGCGTACTGTTTTCAGTCTCTGTGTTCTTGTAGTTTGTATTTGGTGTGTTTGTGTGTATCAATCTGTCTGTCTGTACGTAATATATTAGTACAGATAACTAGATGGCAATTTATTGAAGAAATTATACATTTATAACTGTAAATTGACGTAGAGTAGTGGACTGTGTATTAAAGGGACACAAAGTAGTATTAATACAGTCAAGTTTCCATTTTCATGACATTATCGTGCTCCTAGACAGAAACAGCAATCTGTTTTGTCTCTATACTGGAAGTTGTCTGCAGCAGGTGCAAAGGAGACAATAGTTTGTTGTCCAATGGTAGACCATTCTTTTGCAAAAAATCCTGCACATTTCTTGATGATGGCAATTTGAACCCTGGATTATTTCTACTGTTCATTAACAAACTTCATGGTCTGTGGCCTAATTGTCATGCTAAATGGATGCAATATTTTTTTTTTTTAATTGCTTAATAAAATATAAATGACAAAAAAATGTGAGCATAATAAATTGATGGCAGATTCTCATCCACAAAAAAAAAGTCCAACAACTATTTTATTCAGTTATTGAGCAATAATACAGAAAAATTACCTTAAAAACCAGAAGAAAAAAAAGGAAGAAGCTATAAAAAAAAAAAAAAAGAGATGCATTTATCTTATTATGTCTTAAAACTATTTTTGCAAGATATTAAATATACCACTGGGTAAATAATGCTATATTATATAATTGTCCTCCTTAAAGCTGCTAATAATTTTATATATACATCATTTTAGCTGAACAGACAGCAAATGTATATACAAGAATAAATCTTACACAGAATACAAAATGTCCAATCTGGTTTTCAGGCTTTTGGCTACACAACATTTTCGTGATCTTCTAAAATGCTTTCCAGAAGGATTTTTTTCCTGGGAAAACTATTTTAAAAGGTCAAAGATATGTGTTAATGTATACATTTATTAAATATTCCACTAGATAGAACAATGTATAACAGATTAAAATGGAATTTTGTCCTGTTATGCATGACGGTGATATGATGAAACAACTAAATCAGGTAACTCTCAATCCAGACATATCCGTCACCATTCTTGTTTGGTTCAAAAGTACTTCTCTGAAAAACACACTACCGCAGTATTTCGTACCACGTAACTTCCATCCTCCACCTCAAAACCATCAAATCGAGCATCTTACTTCTAAAGAGCTCCATACACAGAGAATGACCGGCCAGAGAATATCAAATCTCCCGCCAGTCTGGACACAGAAGTCATCTGCATCCATCGACTATAAATCAAAAAGCAACTGCACTCATTGTTAAGCATCGAGCATCTTACTTCTAAAGAGCTCCATACACAGAGAATGACCGGCCAGAGAATATCAAATCTCCCGCCAGTCTGGACACAGAAGTCATCTGCATCCATCGACTATAAATCAAAAAGCAACTGCACTCATTGTTAATTTATAATTGTTTTGTATATGTCTATTCTCGGTGTAACCCTGTATACTATGCAAAACTCTATAATTGTGGTAACATGTCTCCTATTATATGTGTAAAATTCAGAGAAATCTGACTATCCTTCCAGGTAAAATATTTGACAAATTATTAAACTGCATGAAGAAGTCCTTGAATAGTGATCTAAACCTTTTATTCTAGTTACATCTGAGCCGGATTTTGATAGTATTCATATATCATGACCCCTAGAGGCAGGCAATACTACAAACAAAATAATTTGATTTGGTGATTCTAAAAATAAAAAATACGAGTTATATTATCATAGTTTAACAATGTTAAAACAAGTCTGGTCACTTAATCCCAACATTAATTTGATCATCTACAAAGATGCATTTGGCAGAATCCATTGTGGTACCAAGAGGGATGGTCTAATTTAGTATAACTGACTGCACCCACCAGGATAACATATTACACTTCATTTTGACACACCTCATAAATAGGACAGGAAGTGGGCACCAATTGGTAGTGAATTGCTTACAATAACCTAGCCCACTTTTCTTTAACATAAACATGACAGTTCCATTTTAATCTGCAAATAAAATAATCTGTATGTTGTGTTGAAAAAAAAATAATTAACTGATAATTAAAAAAACCATATTTTCATTTTTTGGCCACACAAAACTTTAAAGGTACAATATATGTGTACACACGTACCTGACCCAACATCCTTTGCATCTCTGACTGCGAAGCATTATGGGACAAATACCACAGTATTCCACATGAGGCACACACATGCACGGAACTTCCGTAATACTAACATTATTAACTAAACAGGGAATTGCATTGAACTGAAAAGTGAAGTTACAAAATTAGACTAAAATATAGGATTTGAAAATATTCTCCTATCTTCTCAACTCGGCTAGTGGGACTATTTTTACTAAACCTAAATTCATCACATTTTACTGCTTAGTAAATAAACCCTAATGTTTTAGTAGGCAGAGCTATATATCTTTGAGAATCCTAGAATAAAGGGTCAGACTCTTATACCAGTGATAAATGCAGTGCAGGGTGTATAGTGTTTTTTTTTTAAATTAATTAACAAAACACCTTGCAGGCATAGTGAGTATTTTACTAACTTGGTATTACAGGGTTGTTAAGCTTGCCCGATGTGGCATTGGGACAGTATTTGTTTTTTTTTTGTCCTATAACCTATTATATCTGTGTACCAGAACTCACATCAATTTATAAAGGACAGCCTTCTCTCCAAACTAGTTGTAAATGGATGGGAATATTATCTGTGGTGATCCACTTTAACCTTGTATGTAATGCTGAGGTAAGAAAGATTTGTGAGGGCATAAGCCTTGACATCCAAAAATTAGCTACTAATTACATGACAAAAATATCTAGTAAAAGTATATTGTCCCAGCCTCGAATCTGTAGATTTACTCATGTGTGATTGCCAACAGCAGAGCAATGCTAATCCATTCTCTGCCATACCCACAGGACTGGTTTTTATTACCACAGAAAAAAAATCTGTAATTCGATTATAGCATGGAATGTAAATAACATCCTTAAAGGAACACTCCGGGCAGCATAACAACTTCATAGCAATGTTATGGTGCCAGGAGGTCCCTGGCAGTGGCTCACCTTAAAGGACCACTATAGTGCCAGGAAAACATACTCGTTTTCCTGGCACTATAGTGCCCTGAGGGTGCCCCCACCCTCAGGGACTCCCTCCCGCCCGGCTCTGGAAAGGGGAAAGGGGTTAAAACGTACCTTTTTCCAGCGCTGCGCGGAGAGCTCTCCTCCTCCGATCCTCCTCTTCTCTTCCCATGCGGCTGAATGCGCACGCGCGGCAAGAGCTGCGCGCGCATTCAGCCGGTCACATAGGAAAGCATTCATAAAGCTTTGCTATGGATGCTGGCGTGCTCTCACAGTAAGTAAAATCACAGTAAGAAGCACGCAAGCGCCTCTAGTGGCTGTCAATGAGACAGCCACTAGAGGAAATAGGGGAAGGCTTAACCCATTCACAAACATAGCAGTTTCTCTGAAACTGCTATGTTTATGAAAAAATGGGTTAACCCTAGCTGGACCTGGCACCCAGACCACCTCATTAAGCTGAAGTGGTCTGGGTGCCTAGAGTGGTCCTTTAAGGGGTTAAACCAGTGGTAGTCAACCTTTTTCCACTTACCGCCCACTAATGCATCTTTCTTGATGGAAAAATTTCCTTACCGCCCACCAGTTTTCGCGCAAGCGCGGAATATTTTTTAGAAAGGAGGGTGTTTTAAAAAAAATAAATGTACGTACATTTATCTTTTTATTTCTACTTTATGCATGTTTATAATGTTTTTAACTTTATAAAGTTTAATGAGGAAGCAATAAAGTAAATTGAACTTACCTTTACTAGTGATTAATGAGATCCTTGAGGTTGATGCTGCGAGACTAAATATTTGATATCTGGTTCGATTTTCATAAGGAACAAACGAAGGTCTCCTCTTTCAGTGATAATCGGAAGACTTCTTTGTTTGCTCATAAAATGATTTCTCATCTGTGCGTCAGCTCCCCTCCTCTCCCTCCTCAATTCCCCTTCCCACCTTTTTCCCCTTTTTTCTATTTTTTAACCTTCCTTATAGCAATGCCCAGTAGGAAGGCTGAGCTAGGTAGCCCACTTACTATTATTAGTCAACAACAATTCTCTCCTTTTCCTTTTCTTTCCTTCTCCTTTTTTACAAGTACTCTACTCCTTCTTTCCTCTATACTAGAAGTACTCTACTCCTTCTTTCCCCTATACTAGAAGTACTCTACTCCTTCTTTCCCCTATACTAGAAGTACTCTACTCCTTCTTTCCCCTATACTAGAAGTACTCTACTCCTTCTTTCTCCTATTCTACAAGTACTCTGCACCTTCTTTCTTCTATTCTACAAGTACTCTGCTCACAGGCAAACACATACACACACACACACACACTCACATTGAAACACATACACACAAATATACACATACTCACACATGCACTTACAGACACTGCACAGACAGACCCACAGACACACACACACACTGACACAGACACACATACACTTACAGACAGACACATACACTTACAGACAGACACATACACTTACAGACAGACACATACACTTACAGACACAGACACACACATACACTTACAGACACAGACACACACATACACTTACAGACTTACAGACACACACACATACACTTACAGACACACACACATACACTTACAGACACACACACATACACAGACACACACACATACACTTAGAGACAAACACATGTACACACAAATTATTAATATTAAATATCCACCCAGCCTCCCTACCTGGAGAGCTGGTGTGGATCTGTCCCTGGGGTCCAGTGGGGCTTCACTTAGGCGGGCGGCTAATCAGACGCAGCGAGGGAGCTCTAACCTCTCTGCTCTGCTCCCTCGCGGACTGTCTACGGATGCCGGGAGCCGGAATATGACATCATATTCCGGCTCCCGCGGCATCAGCAAACATCGCGCGAGGGAGCAGAGCAGAGAGGTTAGAGCTCCCTCGCCGCGACTGATTAGAACGCTGCCATGCCGGGGGGTCCAGAAGGTGGCCTGGCAGGAGGGAGCGCTTCCTCCTGCCGGTCACTGAAGACTTGCGCATGCAGAGCCGCTCGCGCCCGCCCAAAAGGAGAAATCCTCTTAAAAAGAGGATTTAGCCTCAGAAATCCCTACCGCCCACCTGGAATCCTAAAACGCCCACTAGTGGGCGGTAGGGACCAGGTTGACGACCCATGGGTTAAACTGTTCTCAGAGTTACAATTGATATGGAATAAGTGGATTGTAGCATGGTTCACCAAGTTCAAGGAGGCAGGTGACTATCCTGAATAAAGTGCAGCTTAATTAAGCCCAAGTGATTATTATGCTTTACAGCCTTTACCACACCTATCAGCATGATCATTATAAAGGTCTACACAGGAGGAGGATAGCTTACATATGAGCTCAAAAAGGGGGCATTTAATGGTATCATTTTAATTATTTCATATTCTTTAATACATTAGCTTTAAAACAAAATGTAAAAAGAAGAGTTGGTCCAAGTTGACAGAGCAGGTGTGGAACACTGTATCAACCTTCCGTAAGGTCTGAGGACCATGAAAGTAATATAGCGATCAATAGTGTGGAGAGTTGAAAATTCTGCTGACCCTCTGCCCACCAAACCTTTTGGTTTTGTTTTGTACCTATCTGTTCTTATATATTGGTTGAATGCAACAAAAATGTATACTCACCAAGGACCCGAGTCACAGAACTTGTTCTGCATGTAATAACTGAAAACTCTTAACACTTTGCCCTACAAAGAACACCCAAACACGAGTGGCATGGTGAGGTAGACAGGCGTAATACAAAAAATAAAATAGCATTTTGTGATATAGCTAAATAACATGATCGGAGTGAGGCAGTTCTCTCACTTCCTGGGGGAGTCGAGAGACAACTGCTGAAAAGTAGGAACAAGACCACAAATGTTACAGAATCACATGACTGCTGACCAGAACAACACCCTACCACCCGTTGCCCAATAAAGACACAACAACACTTGATATGGGTAAGGGCAACAGCCACAGCTTTATTGATAATTATTGCCAGCGTCCCCACTCTGTCAGCTGTTGGGGGTTTACCAACAGACAGCTTTATGCAAATAAACCACGAGTCCGGAGCGGTCTGCCCCCGCCATCAGCTCTCAGCAGGCTGCGACTCCCCAAGCCGCTTGGGCACTTTCTTCCAATTTACTTTGCTGGCCAGGACTACTGCGAGCTGTGACAAAACAAAGAAAAGACAACAGCACCCAACCAAACAAAACGACCTTCACTTTGAATTATTTAAAGCTAGCACCACTATGCCTCTGACAGGGAACTGGTGAGTACCCTCCCCATTTACCCCTTTTTATGATGTGCCTATGTTTCAACTTTGAATCCCCCCCCGGGACCATCCCCTTATCCTTGTCATCAGTCAAGTCCTCCCTTCCTTATCTTTCCAGGGAGGTACTTTTTAACATACTAAGAAAATTCAGGGGAAACACTTGACTGAGAAGCACAAGTTGTGTTATGTTGTTTTTATTTTGTGTATGTCACACTTATTGTAAAACCTGCAGGCGTTTGTAACTCATGACAAGACATGCAGAATAACTGTATTTCTATGCCTGTAACTAAATAAAGAATAAAAATAAAGTGTAGATGTGTAGATGTGTGTTGTAAATTACATTTTGAATCCTTCATACATTTGTCTCATTTATTAAACAATATATATTACATCTGTGTAATGTAACATTACTCATAAAGAGTAGTGGGATACATTATCATTGACATTTACATAGCGCCAACAGATTCCGTAGCGCTTTACAATATTATGAGAGGGGGGAATTTAACTATAAATAGGACAATTACAAGAAACTTGCAGGAACGATAGGTTGAAGAGGAGGTATAGGAGGTACATAAAACTTACTGAATCAAGAGAGGAAAAAAGTATCAAGTACGCATTATAAATAGCCATACTACTGTATGTTCATGATGATTAAATGTACAATTATTAACAATATTTTTTCTAAACTTCTAGCACCGCAGCTTTAAATATTCCGTAAATGTTCTGTAGCCTTGAAGGCATGTTCATGCCAGAGTGATAAAAACAAACTAAAAGGTAACCTTAACTCTATATGCAAATGTATAATCATGTTTTTTTTGTTTTTTTCAGGAAAGAACATTCTGTTAAACGTGCTTTATCAAACTGCCATGTTACATCAGTATCAAGATAGATATACCATTCTCAACAGCCTCTACCTGAATTTCTACTTTAATTTTCCTCTGGCTTGATATTTAATTTTCTTGTGTAATTATTGTATATCTGGGGTGTCAAAACATGACAATCAGCTACTGTTAGACTAAATGTCCTATAGCTCTTAGCTAGAATACACTAGAGGAGTCAGATGCTGTTGTGTAGTGGCCCTCAGCCTTCACCTCTGCTGGGTGAAGGCTCTTCTTGCAAGCCCCGGCATCATGTGGAATCAGAGGTTGCCATGATAACCTATGGCAACGCTCTGAAAGCTAGGGCTTGTGAGAATGAGAGGGCCTTCTGCAGAGATGAAGACTGAGAGCCTCCTGCCCCCCATGCTGTTTCATTCAAGTACCTGAGAAGGGAGATCTTTGATTTTATATATATATATATATGTATATATATATATACACACACACACACACACACACACCTGGGTAAGTGAGATCAAAGATATGCACCCCCCTGGTGGTGAACCTGTTGGTTTTGCATAAGGCCATGGAGGTCTTTTTGGTCTGTCTTCTTGGGCTTTTATCGTTTAACAAAATGAGGGTGTTCAGTCTGGCCACTTTTAAATGGCTGTTTCCCACATGTGTTGGAGTATATAGGATAAAATGGGTAGCACCCAGTAAGTCAGGGGGTGGAGTTAAATGAGGTAGAATCTCGAGTCCCACCATCTTTAACCGTGACCAGCCATAACATTTACAAACATTTTCAGACATATGCCTTACACAATGCTAATCAGGCTATTTCCTGCTAGTATTTTAGTTTTGATTTAGCAGGCTATGTCATTCACTAGCTAACCATCTGCAAGTGAATCCCCGGAGTAGCATGACACCTATTTGTGTGTCACAAAGAAACAGTAAGTAAAAACAATAAATATTAAGTTCACTAAAAGTGGAATGTCACTTTGAAAAGGGAAAATATCTCAAAGCTAAGAAGATTTCAGACCATATCCTTGACATTTTGCTCAATAGTCTATAGAATGTAAGGGTTGATTTATCTGAATAGTGGAAATACATCCATACAATACCCCAGGGATGTCAAACTAAGTCCTCACAAAGTTATAGGTTGTATCAAACAAATATTACCATGCACTATAGTACTCTATTATTACCTCGGCATATTGGCATTAATATGACTGAGGTTGGGATTTACAGGAAATACCATTAAGTGGTGAAAAAACAAGAAAGTCTTGAAATCCAGACATTGCACATTTCCACCACCATCATGAAATAGTAAACTACCTCTGTCATGCTCTGAATTCAGAACACAGTGATCTCAGATGTGCAATCATTTGAAATCTCTAACTCTTAAATGCCATGATCTACATTGTGATTGAATGTCATGATGTGTTTAATAGGTCTTTAGTTTATTATTTTACTATAGTTAAATTATACATACATCAATAAAATACATAACATAGATGTTAACTTAAAACTTTTAACACTACAAAATCATGTAATATATATTGAAGGTATTTGACTTCCCCAAAAGCCATTATATTAGACCTCCGAAAATATGATTTCTCAATTTTCAATGAAACAAATACATAAACAATACTGTAATTGATACTGTTTGTTGAATTTGAATATAAAGGAAATTAACTCATGTTTTGATCTAGTGGGTTTAAGCATTAGGAGAGAAAATCAGTGGGTACCTTCAGCCATTCATCAGATCTGGTTTAGCTTTTGACCTCTTGGCCTTTTTAGAGTATTTGAGGAAGATCAAGCCCTTTTGCGGCGTGAGATTCTTCTTCATTTGTGTGACAGCACTTTTAATATCTACGTGGGTTTGTGACGCATGAATAACTTCATCACCTTCCCAGTCAATGACACCAGCTCTCCAAATCCTGGTGCTTTATCAGTGATTGACATTGGTTAAATGGGAAGGAAAGATATCCCTGAATTTTTTTTTTTTTTTATTTTTGTTGTGCATGGGTTTACAGCAGTGCTTGTATAGCCACAACAGCTTCCACAAGCGCATTATTATTTGAACATAGGTAAGTTATGCGTTAAAACTTGCACATTTTTACATTTAATGAGTTGTATGAACAAGCTAAGTTAAGTAATCTCCTATATGAGATTTGCATCTAATAGATAGATTGTATGTGTTAGACAAGTATGCCTAGTTTGATTGGGTGTAGGTTAGCGTTTTGTCTGAGATGGTCTAGGCGCATGAGGAGGAGATTTTGCTTTTCATCATCTTAAGTTAGGTCAGGCTGAAGAAGCCCTGTGTAGGTGCCATATAGTGATCCCTTGGGGGGGGGGGATTGTCACTTAAGGGTTCGGGAGTATTGTGTATGTTGCTTCTCTGTGGGTAGGTCACGTTTTGCATCTGACTGAGTAGTCTCTATACTGAGCTGGTTGCCAGGGTGTGTGGTATCAGGGTTGCCTAGTGAGCATCAGGTGAGTTGGTAGGTCTCGTGCCTGAGGGTTAGTGTATAACTAGTGTAGGGAAGAGAGTGAGGGTGTGGGTATATACGCTCCCTTGTGTAGTTCGCCCACTCCTGAGGGGGGTATTTGTTGGGCCTGAATTTTTTTTAATACCCTACAATATCCCTGAAAAAAAAGTGTTTTTCTTTACTTTTGAGGGATATTATAAAATTTGCATTTAATGTCTTCTTTATTTACTTTATTTGTATCTTGACAAAAGTTCCATCTTGAGGACGGAAACTTGGTTACACCTCCAGCAGAAACATCAAATATTTTTGTATGTGCAGCATTTCAAACGTCAAACTTACAGAGGCCAAGCACCATGACTGCTTCAAATCACTGCAGTGGTCATGGTGCTTGGAATAATCCTTTAACTAGCATTATTTTAAATATATCAAAGAGAAACTGTGGGCACTATAACCATTTCATCTCATTGAATTGGCTAGAATTCCTGGAGTCCTCTACCATTTTCAAGTAGTTTCACACAAAATAAGGATCCCTGGCCACTTGCAGCCTAGCAGTGACGGAAATACCACAGTCGCAAGGGTCACAGCTGCGACCGGGCCTGTCACTCCAGGGGGCTCCGTAGCCCTGCTAACCCCTGCGACTGTAAGCTGCTGAAAGTGGGGGTGCTGAGAGGAGCCATCTCACAGAAGGCCCAGGAGGTGGCCATCTTGCCATCTTAGGACACCCCCGAATCGGCTCTTACGCTGTGTAGCAGAGCTTACCTGGATGACAGGTGCCTACTCTGCCGATATGTACTGTAAAGTGGGTGGGGGGACAGGAGGCAGGCAGCGGCACTGTGGGTGGGGAGAGAGACTGATCTGACAGTTCCTCTCCTCCCTCGCGTGCCCTCTGTGATGCTGGAAGCCGGAATATTACGTCATTCCGGCCCTGGCATACTAAACAGAGCGCTAGAGGAGAGAGGAAATGCCAGATTACAGCACAGCCCCACACTGAACCCCAAATATACGGAGGTGGGAGAGACACACAGGGGGTGGGTAAGAAACATGGAGGGACTGAGGTGGAGAATGAGACGTGTGGAGGGGCTGGCAGATGGAGATGAGACACATGGGGCGGCCCTGAGGCAGTTTTTGCACCGGGGCCCGGTGGTTTCTAGTTTCTGACTGGAGGTATGACTAAGCCATTCCAATTAATAGCAGCAATGAGTGTTTTTTTCAGCTGAAATTAGTCATCTGATACTCTTAGCCACAGGCTAATGCTTCCTCATTTGCCTGAGTAGCACCAATGAGATAAGCAGCTGGGGACTCTCGTTATTATTATGATTATATTTATATAGTGCCAACAAATTCAGTAGCACTTTACAGTGGGTGGACTAACAAACATATAATTGTTACCAGACAAGTTGGATGCACAGGAACTGAGGGGTTGAGGGACCTGCTCAATGAGCTTACATGCTAGAGCAGTGGTTCTCAAACCAGTCCTCGTGGCCGACCAACAGTCCAGGATTTATGTATTTCCCTGTTTTATTTCAATGGGGATACTAACAAAACCTGGACTATTGAGGACTGGTTTGAGAACCACTGTGCTAGAGGGAGTAGGGTAAAGTGACACAAAAGGTAAGGGAAGTATTAGGGAAGTAGATTGGTAGAATAGTATTCAATTAAGACTTAGTGTGGGTTTTTTTCTTTAAAAATGACCGTTGCAGGAGATGAAGCACTTGGGAGCCATTAACAGTTTAATTAATATGCTTTTGTGAGTTTTTAATGATTTTTTGATGGAGTGGAGACTTGGTGAGCGTCTAATGGAAAAGGGAAGGGTGTTCCACAGAAACGGTGCAGCCCTAAAGAAGTCTTTAAGGACGGGGGACTCTGGATACTGTAACCACTTCAATGAGATAAAGTAGTTATAGTGCCTACAGTGTACCTTTAAGCAGTTTCTATTGACTGAATGGCCCGTAATTTATGTCTTTCAGTGACAGCTCAGTTTTTTTCCATATGTTTACTTTGATAGCACGAGGGAATCAATTAGAGTTAAATCCATATACGTTTACCTCTATAGCCATACATGATGACTTAAAAATTTCTCACTATTATGAGCCTTGGCGAGGAAGCCTCCATGCACACATTTATACACCCCTTCCTTCGGACACCTACTGATAGCCTAATTGACAAATTGTGAAAAACAAAAACAAAATGTTTACTTGTATTTGTGGTGGTGAATAACTTTTAGTCCCATCTAGTAGGCGAGAATTTGAGTTTTTAAGTCTCATTCATTGATTACAATTGATTAAAGGAATCCATAACCGTCCCTATTTCAGAGCAAAACTTTAACTTATACTATACACTCTGACTCTGTATTATGCTATTAATAATAGATCCTAAATGTTTATCTGTTAAAACAGAAACAAACATAAGTCCTGCAAGCCACATGGTTTGTCACCTTTTGAACAGCATCACCTCAGCAGCTGTTGCCACCACTCTGGTCAAGAATGAATAAATTACCCTGTTGCTAAGCAATTGGAGGATTACCTCATTGACCTTTCAATACTGGACGGAAAGGAAAACACAATGACTATTTTCTATGTCAGGAGTTTTTCCACAAATTTGTTTCTTCTGTAGAGTTTTACAGAAGCTTCAACTGTCTAAGAGTTGTGCTAAGAGCTTTCTTTTCTACTGTTACAGGTAAGATTCATCTGTAGGAAAAGGTTACTGATTGCCCAAGGTTTGAATTCCTGTTGGTAATTATAAGGCATTTGATTTGATTAAGCTAGTTACTTGCTGTTGATTGCTGGTTAATTAGCTATTGTTTGCAAATAAGCAGAGGCCTACCCAGGTGTTAAACATTCCTAGTGGGCGGTGATTTAAGGAGTTATATAAGGCTTGGTCTCATTAGCTTGTCTAATATAGCTTGGTGCTACTTCCAAGTGCAGTTTCTAAGTGTGTAGTTGGAGATATTCTGGAGATAACCTGGAGGTAATCTGAGGTATTCAGGAGGATAAAGAAAAAAGTTAAGATTTGTTAGATTTAAATTATTCTCATAATTGGAATGGCAGGCTTAGTTCAGTGTAACAATTGCTATGCATTTGTTTCACGTTCCACTTTTTGGAGGTTTGGTTGTTGTCTAATCTGTAGACAGTTCTCTATCTTGCGGCAGGAGATTGTATTTTTGAAGTCTGAGATTTGTAAATTATCTGGTGAAGAAACTCAGACTGGAACTGCTGCAAAGCCACTGCCGCAGAGACATGCTAGGAAAGGCAGATGGATTACTGTAGGATCTGGTAGACTTAGAGTTGTGGATAAAAGGCATTTTGCACAGTCTGTTGCTCTTCATAATTCATTTTCTGCACTTTCAGAGTGTAATGGTGTTGTGGAGAGAGGCACTGAGGCTAGTGGTGTTGTGGAGAGAGGCACTGAGGCTAGTGGTGTTGTGGAGAGAGGCACTGAGGCTAGTGGTGTTGTGGAGAGAGGCACTGAGGCTAGTGGTGTTGTGGAGAGAGGCACTGAGGCTAGTGGTGTTGTGGAGAGAGGCACTGAGGCTAGTGGTGTTGTGGAGAGAGGCACTGAGGCTAGTGGTGTTGTGGAGAGAGGCACTGAGGCTAGTGGTGTTGTGGAGACCGGCTTGGAGACTATGGTGAGGCCTAATAGAAAGCAGTTGTTGTTGGGTGATTCCATTATAAGAGGTGTGGAGATGGACAATGGTGGTCTTGTGAGGTGTCTTCCCGGAGCTACTGCTCACAGAGACAGGAGACGTATCTGTAATATTGTTAAGCAAGCAAAGCAGGAAGGGGAATTGGATGTACTTGTCCATCTAGGGACAAATGACTTGGCTTGCAATGAGGTTTCAGAGGTTAAGGAAGTTTTTAGTGTTTTTGCCAATGATATACGGCAGGTTGCTTCCACACTGTCATTCTCTGAAGTTCTGCCTGTGCATAACACTCAGAACGACAGGCGGATGCGTATTAGGGACTTTAATTTGTGGCTTGGTGAATGGTGTCGGGAGCAAGGATTTGGCTTTATTTCTCATGGTAGCTCTGTTTGGAATGGAGATAAGCTGTACAAAAAAGATGGTTTGCATCTTTCTCAAAAGGGAACAAATGTTCTCAGTGAGCAGTTCAGAGGTTTTGCTAGGATGTATTTAAACTAGGAGGGGGGGGCAAAAGGGTGATAAAACATCAATCCAATTGTCCCCCAAAACAAGGACAGAAGGTGCCTGTAGCAAGTGTGTTAAAAATGATAAGCTTAGAGTCATGTCTACAAATGCTCGCAGTTTAGGGAATAAGATCCATGAACTTGTGGCAATAATGGCAACTGATAGTGTAGATTTAGTCGCTGTTACTGAGACATGGTACAATGAGAAAAATGACTGGGACATAGCAATACCAGGGTACTCTTTATATAGGAAAGATAGGGAAGGCAAGAAAGGGGGAGGGGTGGCCTTGTATGTGAAGGATAGCATAAAATCTAGCCTAATAAAAGTTAGTGAGGCAAACATAGAGTCCGTTTGGGCTACGTTAGAATTTGGTAATCACACAGTAACTCGTGTAGGTGTGATTTATAGGCCCCCAGGACAAATTGAAGAGTTAGATAATCTACTAGTTGAGGAAATAGCTAAAATGACAATGAAGGGGGAAGTTATCATCATGGGTGACTTTAATCTTCCTGATGTAAATTGGAAAACAAAATTAGCTACTTGTGCCAGGAGCACACATATTCTAAACTCCCTACTGGGATTGTCTCTAAAACAAGTTGTTGAGGAGCCAACTCGTAAAGAGGCCATACTAGATTTAGTGTTAACAAATGGAGATTTGGTATCAGATATTACTGTAGGTGAAAGTTTAGGATCCAGTGATCATCAGTCAGTGTGGTTTAATATAAGAACAGTGACTGAGTCACACCACACAAAAACAAAAGTTTTAGACTTTAGAAAAACAGACTTTTCTAAAATTAGAATATAGGTAGAGGAGTCATTATCAGACTGGAGCAATTTAAATGGAGTCCAAGAAAAATGGGATTATTTAAAAGTTGCTCTATTGAAGGCAACAAAAAATTGCATTAGGCTTGTCAGTAAAAGCAAAAAATTCAAGAAACCACTGTGGTACTCCGCAGATGTGGCCAAAATAGTTAAAAACAAAAAGTTAGCATTTAGGAATTATAAAAAAACCCAGAGTGAGGGAGACAAAATGATCTATAAGATTAGGCAGAAAGAGGCTAAGCAAGTTATAAGAGCTTCCAAATCACACACAGAAGAGAAAATAGCACAGTCAGTAAAAAAGGGGGATAAAACATTTTTTAGATACATAAATGAGAAAAGAAAAGTAAAACAAGGATTAGTTAGATTAAAACAAAAGAAGGAAGGTATGTAGAAGAGGATAAAGGTCAGGCTGACTGCCTCAATGAATATTTTTGTTCTGTATTTACAGAAGAAAATGAAGGAAAGGGACCTCAGTTGAGAAAAAGGATAAATGAGTCATTTATTACACGTGAGTTTACAGAGGAAGAGGTTCTATTTCAACTGTCAAAAGTAAAGACAAATAAGTCAATGGGACCTGATGGAATACACCCAAAGCTATTAAAAGAGCTTAGTGGTGTACTAGCAAAACCATTAACAGATTTATTTAACCAATCATTGTTAACAGGAGTAGTCCCAGAAGATTGGAAGTTAGCGAATGTTGTGCCCATTTACAAGAAAGGTAATAGGGAGGAGTCGGGCAACTATAGGCCAGTAAGCCTTACTTCAGTAGTGGGGAAAGTGATGGAAACCATGTTAAAGGATAGGATTGATGAACATCTAAAAACACATGGATTTCAAGATCAGAGACAACATGGGTTTACTTCAGGGAGATCATGCCAAACTAATCTTATTGATTTTTTTGATTGGGTAACTAAAATTATAGATCAGGGTGGTGCAGTAGACATTGCTTACCTAGATTTCAGTAAGGCTTTTGACACTGTTGCACATAGAAGGCTTATCAATAAACTGCAATCTTTAAGTTTGGATTCCAATATTGTTGAATGGGTAAGACAGTGGCTGAGTGACAGGCAACAGAGGGTTGTAGTTAATGGAATATATTCGAAGCTTGGACTTGTCACCAGTGGGGTACCTCAGGGATCTGTACTTGGACCCATTCTCTTTAATATTTTTATTAGTGATATTGCAGAAGGTCTTGATGGTAAGGTATGTCTTTTTGCTGATGATACTAAGATATGTAACAGGGTTGATGTTCCAGGAGGGATAAGCCAAATGACAAATGATTTAGGTAAACTAGAAAAATGGTCAGAATTGTGGCAACTGACATTTAATGTGGATAAGTGCAAGATAATGCATCTTGGACGTAAAAACCCAAGGGCAGAGTACAGAATATTTGATAGAGTTCTAACCTCAACATATGAGGAAAGGGATTTAGGGGTGATTATTTCTGATGACTTAAAGGTAGGCAGACAATGTAATAGAGCAGCAGGAAATGCTAGCAGAATGCTTGGTTGTATAGGGAGAGGTATTAGCAGTAGAAAGAGGGAAGTGCTCATGCCATTGTACAGAACACTGGTGAGACCTCACTTGGAGTATTGTACACAGTACTGGAGACCGTATCTTCAGAAGGATATTGATACCTTAGAGAGGGTTCAGAGAAGGGCTACTAAACTGGTTCATGGATTGCGGGATAAAACTTACCAGGAAAGGTTAAAGGATCTTAACATGTATAGCTTGGAGGAAAGACGAGACAGGGGGGATATGATAGAAACATTTAAATATATAAAGGGAATCAACACAGTAAAGGAGGAGACTATATTTAAAAGAAGAAAAACTACCACAACAAGAGGACATAGTCTTAAATTAGAGGGACAAAGGTTTAAAAATAATATCAGGAAGTATTACTTTACTGAGAGGGTAGTGGATGCATGGAATAGCCTTCCAGCTAAAGTGGTAGAGGTTAACACAGTAAAGGAGTTTAAGCATGCATGGGATAGGCATAAGGCTATCCTAACTATAAGATAAGGCTAGGGACTAATGAAAGTTTTTAGAAAATTGGGCAGACTAGATGGGCCGAATGGTTCTTATCTGCCGTCACACTCTATGTTTCTATGTTTCTATGTTTCTATAAGAAAGTTCAGGAGGCTAGTGAGCTAGGGTGTATTGTTTTTACACATGTACAACACTTTTGGGAACATGTATTCCTGTCCTGACACTATAGTGCTGAAGTGGCTGCTTAGGTCACCGGCCCACTCAATATTGAGATTAAAGGTGATTTTTCTCACCTTTTCTCTTTCTCACCTTTTCTCCCACGCAGATCTTGCTGCAGCTAGCTCCACCTCCATAGCTGAGATCAGCAAATCCTGATGATCTCATCCAATCCAAATTTGGGTTGGGCATTGCACATGCATCTCCATGGGGAACGTTCAGCGTCTCCATGCAGAGCGTGGAGATGCTCAACGCCAGTTCTGCACACTGTGCAGCACTGGACTAGGAAGCACCTCTAGTCGCCGTGTGAGTGACTGTCACTAGATGTGTCGCTAACGTAAAAACAAGCTGTACCTGAATGATGTGAAGAAAAAAGTGTGGAGAAGGCTTGGAACAGCACATGATCCGAAGCATACCACATCATCTGTAAAAACAGGGCAGTGTGATGGCATGGACATGAATGGCTTCCATTGACACTGGGCCACTAGTTTTTCTTGATGTGACAGAAGCAGCCGAATGAATTCTGAAGTTTACAGGGATATAATGTCTACTAGGATTCAGCCAAATTTTGCAAAGTTGATTGGACGGCGCTTCACTTTACAGATGGACAATGAGCCAAAACACACCGTGAAAGCAACTCAGTAGTTTTTTTTTTTTTTAAGGCAAACAAGTGGAATATTCTGCAATGCCCGAGTCAATAACCTTATCAAGCATGCATTTTACTTGCTGAAGATAAACCTAAAGGAGAAAGACCCATGAACAAACAACAACTGAAGACAGCTACAGTAAAGGCCTGGCATCACAAAGGAGGAAATCCAATGTTTGGTGATGTCCATGCATTCCAGATTTCAAGCAGTCATTACCTGCAAAGGATTCTCGACAAAGTATTCAAAACATTAAATTTTATTTATGATTGTGTTAATTTATCCAAGTACATTTGAACCCCTGATATAAGGGTGGCCATGTATAAAAATTAAACATTTCATACAATATTTTTGTTCAATCCCTTGAATTAAAGTTGAAAGTCTGCACTTCAATTGCATCTCGGTTGTTTCATTTGAGAACCATTGTGGACCTAACTGTAATTATGAGGTTGATCACATAACATAAAATGTAGTAATCACAAAATATCTGTGCATGTCTATTCCCTCTCAGCCATTTCTACTGTCCTGCTTACAGCCATGCCTACTACTTTTATTCAACTACTGAGGGTTAACAAAACTGCCTGCTGAACACATTATCGTTTAATATGCGGGCAATTAAAAGAAATGCATTCCCTGCTGGACTTGTTCTATCGATCTGTCTGGAGGCTATTTTATTGTGCAAAGAACCAAACTATGATAGAAGAAACAATGAAGACAATGTGTCTGCCTTTGGTTACAATAAAAAGTATATTAATATCACTCCATATTAATTTAAATTGTATGAGCAACATTTTGGCTGGCATAAAAAAGAAAAAAAACTATTAAAAGAAATAAAAGTTTTTGGTTTTTAGTTCAAAGAAGAGCCTTGCCGACTTTCATGCAGAGTGACACATCTGTCATTTATTTGTAAAGTAATTGTATCATGTAAAAATGCCACAGGCTCTTCAACTCAATATTACAGGAATTGCTTAATAGATCTTAAGTATATTTATAGAGCATAAATCACAGCAAAAGATCATCAAATAAGATATACGGAAACGGCTCTAAACTTTGCGAGGCGAAACTTGAACATGAGGCCCCAACTGAGACCCATAATTAAAAAAAATGCACGTGATAAAATTAACTGGCCATGGTCCCTGGTGTCTAGTGGTAGGGACTCCTTCCTGTTTACCCTCTGCATGTGGCACAGATTACAACCAGTGGAACACTCCCCACCTGCTGCCTCGACTCTCAGTTCATCCTGCAGGGCTGCCATCATAACACTTATGATCCATTACAAACACAGTCGTTGAGCCCCCACCAACACACACATATACATTCCAGACATATTACACGCACAAACTCAGGTACAAACTGCCAGACAGACATACACTCACACAGCGATTCTCAATGCCAGACACACTGACACATTCACTGGCAAACATACACACACCCACTCCCTTGTACACAAGCACTAACAGACTCACACATTGACTGACACACATACATAAGCATTAACAGAGACACACACAAATATTTAAATTTAAATGTTTTAGTCACCCTATTCTTTTCCTACCTTTTGCACTGTGGTACCGACTGCAGGCTGTACTCAGGGGGCTTTGATGGGCAATTTCTGTCTTCCTGAATGGTCTCCTCTTAGCACTAGTAGGAATAGATTGGACATCACTTTCTACCAGTGTGTCCTGGAGAGGCTGTACCTTGCAAGGGGTCTGTGCCATCACCAGATTCCCTAATATGGTCCAGTGCCCAACCAGACCACGTAACATTACAGGGCCCCTTGTGGACCCCAAAGCATAACTGGTCCACTTAATATTTTATGGGCTGTACCTTCCTGATAGAGACTGTGATGCCCTGAAGGCCCTGATGACATTACAGTTAGCATCTCCCTCTTCCTCCCCTAGCTCCATTTCCCTATCTCTCCATCAACAATGAGGTGGTTACACTACTTTCAACAGAACAGTTCCAAATGTTTAGCCTCCAATGAATGGACTCTTCTCCTACTCTTGTTACCACTTAAGAACCACAAGTACCTGCATACATTAGGCACTTATAATGTAAGTAGGTATAAGGGATTCATACATTCTCTCTCAATTATGGAGTTGGAGAGCGCTGTGGGAGCTGTAGTCTAATCATCTGCTGTCTGTTTGGTGCAAGAAAAATACTCTGTAACTAGACAGATCTGCATTGGAAAACTGATATAGTTAGTTACTAAGAAGAGAATTGTTGGGAACTTCAAGGTGAATTCCAATCTAAAGCCCTGATCGCTAAACTGGAAACAGAGCAAATGTGCAGAATTTATCCAGTTTGGCCCGTTTGAACCGTAAATTTGAATTAACTACAATTCTCACTTTAGTGAATAACTCACTTCGCTGATAATGAATCACATATTTGTTGATGTTATATCATCTTAAAGCACATTATGCAAATGAACATAGGTATTGAGCCTCTTAGTAAATTTAAATTTAAATCCACATTGTAAGTAAGCAATGGCTCTTTGGTACTTAAAGAGTTAAAAAAGGTGTTTCCTCACTGTAACAACTGAATGTGCTTATTATACACAGTAATCAAGACGACATATATTTTATTTTGAAGTTAGGGGAATCTGTATGAGTTGTGCGATTTAAAGTGCAAATGCTCACTTTGTTACATTAACTACCAATTAAGCTGTCCATTTACAGTGTAATCAGCCTGACGGAGTACGCATGGTACAATCACAGCCTCATTTCCTTCCCAAGGAACAGCATTAAACTAACTCTTACAAACTGGAACATGCAAGCTTTTATAGTTTGCTGGTAATACAGTATTTATGTATGTTTATTGTTAAAAGGAACACTACAGTGCTAGGAATACAAAACTGTATTCCTAATGTTATAGAGCCCTAGACACCATTTAGGCCAACACTGCCAGGGTTCAGGGTTGTAGGAACACTATAGTGTCAGGAGCACACACATGTATTCCTGATCCTATAGTGTAAAAAAACACAATCTAGCCCCCCTGCACACCCTTATCCACCTAAATATAGTAAAATCTTACCTCTACTCCAGTCTGCCGGTGCTGTCTTTGCTCTTGATCTGCCTTCTTGACTGACATCATCATAATCTTAGGCCCCCCAGAGGCTGGCATTACCTGATGTGGGAGGCTGTCCCCTGATCTCTCCCTGCTCGGCTCCCATGCGCGCACTGCAGTGATGCCGGAATATGATGGGCATGCGGGCATCACTGAGAGGCGCGCAAGGAAGCTGAGCAGATCAGAACTCCCACGCTGCCTACCACCACTCAGCGCCAGCCCGCTGCGCTGCTGCCAGCCCCACTGGACCACAGGGAAATGGAGAATCCATTTCAGAACTCCAGCGAAGGTATGGAAGCTGGGTGGATTGAAATGAAATGTGAGTGTGTTAGTGTGTATGTCTGCTGGTGAGTGTGTTTGTGTGTCTATTAGTGAGAGTGTGTGTGTCTGTCAAAGAGTGTGTGTGTATGTATGTCTGTCAAAGAGTGTGTGTGCATGTATGTCTGTCAAAGAATGTGTGTCAGTGAGAGTGTGTATGTCTGTTAGTGAGTGTGTTCGTGTGTGTCTGTTGGTGAGAGTGTGTGTGTGTCTGTGTGTGTCTGTTGGCGAGTGTGTGCAGCACAAAACCAGAATACACCACTGCTGGTAAGTATAGTAGGTGTCCAACCAAACTTGTTGCTTTGGAATTTTATCTCTTATGGTGCACAATAATCAAGTCATACATTTAAACGACTGCTCTCATATTAGCATAATCTCCTCTACTTCTGTTTAGGCATCTCAGGATGGACAGCAACTGTTTTCTTCAGTGGACCCTTTTAGTTCCGCACTCGTTTGATGATACTTGAGACTCCATGTTAACGTTTTTTCTTGCTATTCTATCATAGTTTCATATTTTTCTTAAATATCGACTCGATTTGAGTTCCAATGAGATCATTTAATTGAAGCCCTGCATTAAAAAGGCCTAGTCAGTACAAATCCCAATGAATGGTGTATTTAGGACAGGAGATTAAAGGGTTTGTATTATGTAAAGCGTGAGGGACAACTAAGAATGAAAGTTTGTACATCTGATCCCAAACCATTGTGTAAGCACAAAATAACTGACACATGTAACAACTCACAGTGCTTACACTACACATCCTTCCTCACTGTTATGAACCATTTTTTGGTAGCAAGAACATGACGTACCAGATCACTCACTTCTGTACTTCATACAGACTTAAAATTAAGTATTAAGGTTTCTGATCGACTCCATAAATTATAAATATCAGTGCACACATATAGAAGGACTAGTATGTGATTTAAAAGCATTACTGTGGTTTGTTAAGACAAGAAAATAATATAATCACTAATATTTAGATCTGTATACAAACGATGAAAGACCTATGGAGTTACAAATAAAAATATACTTTTAGAATTTTGCCCATAATAAAGTAATTAGAAACACAGAGCTGAGTTGGAGACTTTCTTCTTGGCTATTTTAGATTTAGGTTTAATAGTAAAGAACTATATATTTTTGAGTTTATAAGATAAACTATGTGCATCAAAAGGTGTCTACTGACATCCCATATTTCATTCTCATACAATATAATATAAAAAAAGGACCGCAAAATCAAAATATCTTGAATCTTCTAAAAGCAGTTGGCATCCTGATGTTACCATCTAGCAATTGGTCACTTTGACATTCTGATCTGCCAATAATAAACTGATCTATCTAAATAAGAGAGGAAATTAATAAAGTCTCAGACAAATGTCTCTATTCCATATAATCCTTCTTCCAGAGGTAGCAAAGCATCACCAAGACAGATGGAGATATTGTTCCATCAGATATTTTTAAGATAAAAAATAAATAAATAAAGCTGTGGTGACATTTTAAAAGATCTATATTTGCCTTAGATGCAGCGGTGTATTTACTGCGAGGCTGACAAGGCATTTGCCTTGGGCGGCACTTTCAGAGGAGCGGCAAAAAAAGCAGACTCCAAACGCCCTGGCAAATGTCTTGGGGGGCGCAGGAGCTGACCGGGTGGCCACCTCTGGGCCCCCCCCCCCGAGGCTTGCATTGGCTGATGTGGGAGGCGGGCGGCAAAGGAGCAGTGATCCTCCTGTCCAGCTCCCTTGCGTGCACTGCAGTGATGCCGGAGCTGGAATATGATGTCACTCCGGCTCCGGCATCGTTAAGAAGCGCACGAGGAAGCAGAACAGGAGGATCACTGCTCTCTCGCCGCCTCCACTATGAGCCTGCCCACCTGCGTGCCTGCCAGCCCAGCCAGCTGCAGCCCCACTAGACCCCAGGGAAGAAGTCCCCAAAATGTAAGCAAATAATAAAGAAAAAAAAATAATAATTGTGAGTGTGTTAGTGTGTGTCTGTTAATTTGTATCTAATAGTGAGAGTGTATGTGTCTGTTAGTGAGAGTGTGTGTCTGTGAGTGCCTGTTGGTGAGTGTGTTAGTGTGTGTGTCTGTTGGTGAGTGTTAGTATGTCTGTTAGTGAGAGTGTGTGTGTCTGTCAAAGATTGTTTGTCACTGAGAGTGTGTATCTGTCAGTCAATGTGTAGGTCTGTTAGCAAATGTGTGTCTCTGACACTAAGTATATATGTGTCTGTCAGTGAGTGTGTGTCTGTCAGTAAGTTAGTGAGTATGCGTCTGTCAGTAAATTTGTATATGTGTCTTGTCAGTGAGTGCAGGGCTCGAGTCCCGCAGGAACGTGTGGGAATGGCGTTCCTGCACTTTTTTCACAGCTGGCACGCAGTTCCCATTGTTCCTGCGGGCACTCAGGGAGCAGCAAAAAATGCTGCCCCCAAATGCCCCACCGTGTTCTCCCTGTCACGGGGGGGGCCACCTGATGGGCCCCCCTGGCGGACGCCTGTCTCCCTGTCACAGACGGCGAAGGAGCTGTGTTCTCTCTGCTCTGCTCACTTGCTCGCTGTTTGCTGATGCCGGGAGCCAGAATATGACATCATACTCCGGCTCCCAGCATCAGTAGAAGGCCCGCGCGGCGAGAGGGAGCAGAGCTGGTAGAACACAGCTCCCTCGCCGCGTCTGACAGGGAGACAGCTGCCCACCGCACTGAAGCTCTCTAGGTAGGGAGGCTGGGTGGACATTTTTAAATTTAAAAAATAAAAATAATTTGTGTGTTACAAATGAAATTACAAAATCTATATGATGGCCTACAGTTTAGCAAGTACATGGACATTATAAGTATAAGTTAAGTATATGGAAAATATAGATTCTATAGACAGAATTTTATCAAGATTTCAATTCTTATCCTCTAAATTGTAAGCTTGTTGAGCACTGTAGGAATTTTGTAGTCTTGTATAATATTTGTATAGTGTCAGTATATGTAAATGTAAGTGCAGAATTGTGTGTGTGTGTGTCTGTGAGTGTGTGTCTGAGTGTATCTGTGTGTGTGTGTGTGTGTTTCTGTGAATGTATATGTGTGTGTCTGTGTGTATGAGTGTATCTGTGTGTGTGTGTGTCTGTGTGTGTGTGTGTATGAGAGTATGTGTGTGTCTGTGTGTGTGTGTGTGTATGAGTGTATGTGTGTGTCTGTGAGTGTGTGTATATGTGTGTCTGAGTGCACGCGTTTATATATGCATACGAGTGTATATTATTTTTTGGGGTGGTGGATCTTGGGTGAGTTCCCACACTTTATTCCCCAGGACTTGACCCCTGAGTGAGTGTGTATGTGTATCTGTCAGTGTGTATCTGTCAGTGAATGCGTGTGTCAGTTAATGTGTGTTTGTCAGTGAGTGTGTATGTTGGTTAAACAGTGTGTGTGACAATGATTGTGTATCTGTCAGTGAGTGTATGTCAGTGTATGCATCAGTGAAGTTGTGTGTCTGTTAGGCAAAGAGCATGTTGGTTTTTAACAGGAATGAAAACTTAGAAGGGGGGGGGGGCAGCACAAAACTAGAATACACCACTGCTTAGATGTGTTGTATACTTATCCTGATTAATCTTTTGAGTTCCACAGAAAACGATTCTCAATTAGGCAACACGGTGTAAGGGGGAGTACAGTATAGCCCACAAGGTAGAGAGATTTCCATGCAATACATAGCATGTTGGTATCGGCACAATCTCACAGTTATAAAATTATGTTGTGCAATCTATAAAAGACGGTGTCTTCAAGGCTCAGAAAGAAACCATAATAAATATCAAGATAGAATCACATTTTACACTACCAGTCAATTTTTGCCTGCTGTTTTAGTAAATGTAAATATTTGCATATATTGGAAGAATTTTTTTTTTTTTTTTTAAATGACTTCAGCTTCATGCTGGCCATACAAAGTCTCTGTGTAGACACTCTGTGCATAGTACATCAATGCAGCTAATTTGTGAACAGAATATAAAATAACTTTATTTGTAATTTGTTTAATAATTTATCTATTCAATAACCTTTATAGAGGGCAAGTATCTGTGAGTCTGTTATTCAACTATTCTGTTCTTTTTATGGATGAGGGATAACCTTTCACAGGCACTCTCAATAATAAATACATTTAAATACAGGTTGAATATATCAATGCACCTGATAGCTCAAACAACTGGGCAGTGGGCATGTAAAGATGAGATTTGGATATGGGGTAAAGACAACATATGGTCGGTTTTGGCAAGCGCCCATAATCAATCGTACTAACAGTCTACCTCTGTAACATAAAATGGAATTTTAGAATTCATGTTTTTTTGGTTTTATAGTAGTGAAGAAGTGCTTAACTTCATCTTTGATGAGTAACATGTTCTTCAGCAGCTAAAGTGATTTTTAATGTTTCCAAACACCGAATTAAAAAAAATATAAAGTGGTGTCATGAAGGATTTATATACACACATCACTCTTACCTCCAGTAATTCCCATTCCGTTCACAGCATATAGCCTAGTTCTGTGTTTTTTTGTGTTTAAAAGTTCAATGGCTCCGAATGAATGATGTACAGCAAGTTTTACAGATATTTATTAAGTGAAATTACATTATTTGTTTCTTTAGCAAGAGATCGCTGAATAATGAATGACAATATTTTGCTATCATTATGGTGCATGCTGTATACTAAATTCCAGAAATTTGCAATGAAACATAATAAATATAGAATGATGATATTTTTATGCTAACTGAAATGTAATCCAAACAGATCAAACATTATAAATGTTGTGTGTGCTAAATCAATGTTTTTATGCATCCAAAATTGTACAATACACACTTAACCCCTTAAGTACACAACTTCAGAAATAAAAGGGAATCATGACGGAATGTTTCTGTCATGTGTCCTTAAGGGGTTAATGTTTTAAGTGTCAACACAAATGGACAAACATAAGGAATATATAATAGATTGAACAATTTTGTTGTTATTAGTTGGAATTGTGAGACTGGATTTAAACACATTTCTTGCTCCCTTCAGTAAAGAAAGGCGAGTCCAGATTCCAGGCACCCAGATTCTTCTCTGCTCTTAAAAAAAAGGATAAATAAAACCAATATGATCAGATTGGGCCAAGTCAGTACTCAGCAGGGAGCTTCCTGCGGCATTTCACAAAACATGTGCCAAGTAGATCCCCTGAGGGAAACTCGGGACAGCCAGCAAACAGTTGAACATCCCAATGGCATTCATTTACTAGTAAAACTCTTGCAACCATGTGATGTTATTAAAACAAATGTCAATAATCTCACTGTTTGCTTGGAAGAGTAAATTATATAAATTTTGGTGACATAGTGTAACTTTAAAATTAATACTCTGCCACAAGTTTGGTGGTGACGGGACGCAGACAAAGGTTTGCCCAGGACCAAGTTAAAATCGTATGATTAATTTTTGGGGTGTGAGTGGGGTGTCGCCAGGGGTGGGGCTGTTCTGAGAAATTTTAGGTACTTTACTAATAATTTATGGCAATAAAATGTAATTTAGAACAAGAATAAGGTTCCTCATTAACATAGACTGATTTTAAATGAAAACACATTTATTGTAGTTTAAAGACACATTACTGTGAGAATCATTGCTGTGGAGCTCTGTTATACACTCAGACACACCTACAATATAGAGCTCCAGTGGGATAGAAAGGATAGGATAGAAAAGAGGGACCCATATGGGGACTGTTCCTCATAAATAGGGACATCTGGTATGTATGAGACTGTATATACTGCATGGTTTCTCTGTGACTACGGACATCGTTACTCACATGCAACCTTTGAATTAGACATATTACACAACACCACTTTCAAGCACTGGCTATCAGTAAGTGATATGTTTTGAAGGAAACATGTTGGACTTGGCAACTCTAGTTTAAACACAGACACAGAAAAGGTCCCTCCTCCAGTTAAAGGGACACTGTAGGCACCCAGACTACTTCAGCCCATTGTGGTCTGGGTGCCAGCTCCCATCACCCTTAATCCTGCAAGTTTAGTTATTGCAGTTTTTATAAACGGCAACAATTACATTGCAGGATTAATTCCTCCCTGTCTGGAATCCCTATAGGAAAGCATTAAATAATGCTTTCCTATGGGGAGGTCTAAGGCGTGCGCGCAGCCATTACCGCGCATGCGCATTAGGTCTCCCCCGCTGACATCAACTGTGTGGGCGGAGCCTGACCCAGTGCCGAGGGACATCGGCACTAGATTCAGGTAAGTGGCTGAAGGGGGGGTACTCTAGTGCCAGAAGGACGGGCTAGTTTTTCTGGCACTGGAGAATCCCTTTAAGTGTTTTACAAGATTCAGACAAGCTCAGTGCACACAGGACCTATACAATATCAATGCACACAGGACCCATACAATATCAATGCACACTGATCAGCTAAGTCCAATACAATGATGTGTTTATTCATGAAAGTAGAAATTCTGGAGAACTAACAAAAGTATTGCAAATGTTAGGCCTCTAATAGCTGGAAAAAAACAAACAAAAAACCAACCTACAACTCTATTGGAGTTTGCTCACTACAATGGAAATTGTCGAGAGCTGATGTGGAAAAAATTGCTTGTTCCAGTTCTACCCTACAGGGGAACACGCCTTCTTGACAACAACCACATGACCAGTAGGGGACTGTACTTTTTAAAGTGGCAACAACACAATACCATTCACAATACTCCCCCCATCCACGCATGCTTATGGACCGCCTGACCTATCTCACTCCTACAATACCATGGAGCTGGATCTGATGGATGGATATGGACATTGGGCACCTAAGGGAACCCAATTATGTCTCACACACTGGCAGGTATACTATGATGTGAAAAGTTCAGAGGACAAGGAATGATATGGTGTTGAACTTCCTTTGCCACTTGTGTTTACTGGTTAATAAAGACGTGGAGTTTACGGTGGGAGCCACATGAGGTTCTGATTGCAAATGAGACTTGGGGTTTGTGAATCTCACTGTTTTATTGTGACTATTCATTGGGTTCGCTTCACTCATTTCCTGCACTCTTCTATTGAGTTTACCTAATACTTACTGGGTACTAGACTAGAGACAGTTGCTCTCCAGGTTACACTTACAGTGGGTTTTCCATATCTTATCCGATTATACTAAATGATATTGTATGGTGACTCTTTCGCCACGCACACTTTTTTCAAATACTGTACATTTCATCTTTGTTATGGAACGTTGTTTTTTTATGTGGTCCTGTGAGACCAATTGCCATGCTCTGCTGCAGGGACTTGTGTGTCCTGTAAATTTCTGTTGTCCGTCTGCCAATTTTACACTTTTATCTTTTATTTGGTTTCCCAAAAAAAAAAAAAACTTGTCTGGTTATAAATACGTGTCTTTTAGTCCACCCATTGTACAGCGCTTTGGAATTTGTTGGCACTTTATAAATATTAATATTAATTTACAAAAAGAGAATTGTTCCAGTTCATCCATTTTGGCTTAATACTTGCAATACTCTTGCCAATTCCACAATTTTTTATTTAATGAGTAAACCCTAATCATCAGATGGGATGGAACCGTAAACTCACAAAAGGCATTAAAAACGATTCAGCCAGGTTAGTAATTTTGCCTAAAATACTCGCGTATACAATTAAAAAGCTGCCATTTTTTTAGGGACACTGTATTGTCACTGTGTTCATAGGGATGCAGTTATACCATGTTATAAAAACTAACCGTAACATTTTAGAATTGAATCAAAATATGGATTAATTTGGTTTAAAATGCCTCCGGTGGTCATTTGTTGAATAACTAATTATAAATATCTGCTCCTCGATCAGGGGTAGGCAACCTTCGGCACTCCCATTGTTGTGGACTACACTTCCCATAACGCTCTAACAGCCACAAAGCTGGCAAAGTTTCTGGCAAGATATAGTTCACAAAATTTGGAGTGCAAAAGTTGCCTAGTCCTGTCTTAGACGCTCAAATTCTTCATATGAGATCAGTTCAGCATGCCTGCCCACCGATGTAATCCAGGAGAGAAAAATGTATGGGCACAAATTTTAATTCTACCAACGGCATGGAAACTCTTTCATCATGGATGTTTGTGAACATTGTACAACACTGTGATATTATTGATGGAGTGTAATATGCCAGAAAGACAAATAACCACTCTCCACTTGCATTTGTAACAATGAAGGTTGTCATAGAAATCTCAGGAGTCTAATCCAACATTCCCTTTCATCACTATAATAGTAATGTATATGTAGCCTGGTAACTATGTCCTGTTGCCTTTGCATGCAGCATGTTCACCACTTTTGAATAGAGTTCACTGTATATAAAGAACAAAATTATTTCTTGGTTGATTTGCCAGCAGAAACAAAGAAACTGTTAAAGCAATAGAGTCAAAGCATATTAAGAAATCAGCAAAATAATTCACATGACACTTTGTGCTCCTTGCATAAGTTATGATGTAAGTAGTGACAGGTCCTGTCTTCATGAGCACTGTTACATATAACTAGTGCAATTTCCAAAAATCATTACAGATATAAGTTCAAAAACCACACTATGTATTGTCTGAGGGTGGCTAGCTATGCTAGAGCTTGTATGGAGTGAATCTAATCTATTCACAAACCGGACTTTACATAGGACACGAGGCCATGCGTTTAGACTGGAAGAAAGAAGATTTTGTCTAAGGCAAAGGAAAGGTTTTTTTACTGTAAGAACAATCAGGATGTGGAATTCTCTGCCTGAAGAAGTGGTTTTATCAGAGTCCATACAGATGTTCAAACGGCTACTAGATGCCTACTTAACAGATTATTCAAGGATATAATCTTTCAATGTAGGCTAATAACTGCTTGATCCAAGGATAAATCTGACTGCCATTCTGGGATCAAGAAGGAATTTTTTTCCTAACTTGTTGCAAAATTGTGCTTCAAACTGGGTTTTTTTTGCCTTCTTTTGGATCAACAGCAAAAAACAAATGTGAGGTAGGCTGAACTTGATGGACGCAAGTCTCTTTTCAGCTATGTAACTATGAGTGTGCACACCTTACTAATCTCAAACTATTTCAGACAGACTCCCACATAGATGTCTACGAGAGAGCCTCTTCTAGCTCCATTCATGTAAAAACAAGAATGGAACTCTTTATGAAGCTAATAGATGTCACTGTTTCTTTTATAAAACGAAAATTCAGACACTGTTGAACTACAATGGAAGCCTTGGATTTACTGTGAGGTTTTACATCTGAAGAAAGCTTCCCATATAAAATAAAAAGCCCAAATGTGTTAAATTCAATGGTTACAGCTGTTTTCGTTTTAAAAGTAGGCCTTAAAGAAGACGGTAGACGACGTCAGGCTGGGCTGTCCTTTTTATATATGTGTATATATATATATATATATATATATATATATATCAAATATGCAAATTATTTCACTTGAACATATTTGGTGCCACACATGTATAAACAAATATCAACTTTTAAACATCACAAGAAGGTCAAACTGCTAACGTTAACTTATAAAGATAAAGTCTTTACCCGTACACATGGGTGTTGAGTGTTAAACTAATAATGTTGTGCTATATAACATACATCCTTTTTGGAGCATTACTAATTCAAATCAGGCAAACCACTGATAGTGTGTTTAAATTAACTGAACTGCGTCAGAAATGACAGTACAGGCAGGTATAAAATGAAGACTTGTGACTGCAACTGCCTGTGCACTTACCACGCCAAAATTATTCAAAACAAGTCTCTCCATGGCGGTTAATAACTTTATCAGTATAAGATGCCACTATGTATTTATTATTTATGGCAGGGGTGCCCAAAAGGTAGACCGCAGATGCTTTAAAACTACAACTCCCATGGTGCTTTATATGCCTTTAGAATGCTTTAGAACAGGGGTGCCCGAAAAGGTAGATCCCCAGATGTGGTAAAAACGACACTTTCCATGTTGCTTTGTCATTCTAAAGGCATGCAAAGCATCATGGGAGGTGTAGTTCTACAACATCTGGAGATCTACCTTTTGGGCACCCCTGATTTATGGTATTTGGAACTGCTGATTTTGCTAGTGTATTTCAAATAAATGAATATGTGTATAAGCATAAAGCACCCACACTTGACTATCGGTTGCTTAATTTTTAGATTTCCCACTCCGCCTTATCTATCAAACAGGGTTATTCACTAATGTGAGAATGCAGTGAGAATTCAAAGTGAATTTCAAATTTAAGGCAAAAATAGATGCTTTCAGCTCAGCTACTTTGGCCTAAACTATAAAATTCACAGTGATTTCACTTTTGAATTCTCACTTTAGTGAATAACACTGAAGGTCTTCTTTGAGTTCACAATTTTAACGTGATCTGCCAAGCAAAACTTGGGGATATGAAGTCCAGCACTTGGTAGCAGTTTCATGCATGAAAAAGCCATAAATATAACTGCTGTACTAATTATAGAATTCACACGTTGTTTTGATCGGCTCGGTGCAGAAGTCCTTTTCATAAGCCGTGGGGCACTAGCATATTATTATTATTATTTTATTATTTATATAGCGCCAGCAAATTCCGTAGCGCTTTACAATGGGTATATGTGCAGGTCTTTCACTTGATGTGTGCATTCATCATATTACCTCCCCTATGTGTGCTGCTGTGAATGTTACAGGAAAGTAATATGTTTGCCTGCTCCAATTGTCTAGAATTCTCTTGCAGGGAGTGAAGGTTTAATGGTCTGATCACTTGCACTGTAGAAGGGGCTTCTGGGTAGATGGTAAAAACTTGGAGCAGAAATAGTGTAGACCGATTGAACTTGTTTCTGAGCGGATTCTAGTAAATTCATTATTTGTAGAACACTGACTGCTCTACTTAATTCACTGAAGTTAAACCCAAGTCCTACAGAGTCAACAATGTGTCAAACTCTGTAACGTAACTGTTCAAAGGTGGGGGCTGAACGACAACACTAACAACCCCACACATGGGGGAAAATGTCAGAAAAGAGACAGTTTCTTGTGCCTTCATTCTGATAAAAGCTATTACAGTGTTTACTGTAATGCATAGAGCAGTGGATGCAAATAAAAAACATTTACCTCCGCTGGGCTTCCAGACTTCAGGGGCTTCACCCCCCCGAGAATGCCCACTGCATTCTACTTTCACTAACTTCTTTTAACAAACCAACACAAACTTTCTGCTGTCATTTAGATCTCAATACAAAACAAGTTACAATAAAGCATTGTGAATTTATAGAAATGGAAAACTGTCAATCAAAATACTGCCAGTGATATTATATACTAAGTGTAAACATTTATTATTATTTTATTATTTATATAGAGCCATCAGATTCCATAGCGCTGTACAATAGGTGGACTAACAGACATTTAATTGTAACCAGACAACTGGACGTACAGGAACAAAGAGGTGGAGGGCCATGCTCAATGAGCTTACATTTATTTATAATTTACATTATTTTACCTCCAATTCTACACACAAGCAAAACAATTATACAAAAACACAGCGGAGGTGACAAGTAGAATCTTAGTTTTTTGGAGAGCATCAATGAGCAACAATTTGGGTGCATTCCATGCTCAATAAATATACCTGCATCTCAAAGTTGATTGTCATTTTCAGTGACAAAGGGCTACAGGCCAAATGTCACTCTCTACATTGAAAATACAGATTGTTACCTGCACAAACTTATTTTTAATTTATACAATTTGGGCTAAAATTTTGGAGGGACAGGGGGATGGGAAAGGATAGAATTTATTTTGTCTGCTATTTTGGTCAAAATGTTGTAAAAATGTTTCAATACAAGCTGCTATTTAGTGAGTAGACCCCATAGATTTAGCAAAACGAGAACATATAATTGCAGGCGATCGAGAAGGATGTTTTCAGTGCGAACTAATAAGATTTTCTTAATTGCCAAATCTCGAGCTTGATCCATTTTCTTTATCCCATAGGCAATTGAGCTAAGAAACAAGATTTTCCCTTGTATTGATGCTCATTAATTGATATGAAAGGAAACGCTTTAAACACATTGCTATCATTTATACTGAAGATTACGATAAATTACATCTTAATCAGAAATCCACACATATTTAATTATCCTGTGATTTGTAAGACTTCCAGACACAAGCAGCCAGGGATTAGTCAATTAAGTGGTATGATATTTTACACCCTGGCGATGGTTTAATAATCTGCACACATCCAATTGTTTCTAAACATAACAGGTTTCAAATGGACATCAGGTTTTCTTTTGCACTTAGGGTTGCCAGATTAATCATGTTTTCCTGGGCCCCTACGGTGTCTTCATGCTGATGGACAGCACGTAAAAAGTGCTTACCTACAGTAAGTAGCATTCATGTGCTGCAGGATACAACAACTACTCAAGTCAATTACTCTGGGATCCTGCTTGATTGACTATTTTCTGCAGCATATGAATTATACGTATCACAGGATAGAACTTTTCATTTACTGCATAAGAACATGACGAAGTGAGCGGGATTAGCCATAACTTGACCCTAGGTGGCTTCTTAGGGACCAGGCGTTAGACTGACAGGGAACACAGGACTACAAATTTGTATGGCCCCGTCAACAATCCCTATGTAAGGAATGGAGAAGGACAAACTTGTACCCTGCCTCAATCCTGAAAATCCAGAACATTATGGTGTATCTGGCAGACATATTTGCATGACTTCTCACTATTTAATCGTAGAGAAGATAGTAAGATGTAAAATAATAATAGTACTATGCAGAATATACATTACTTGTCTCTTTTTTCAGTATTTAATTTTTAGTTATTAAACTCGCAAAAATCTTAAAGAAGCACATTCAAATAAACATACTGTGTGTAACCAGCAATTCTAAAAACAAACAAAAGTAACATATATAAAGCTTGCTATTAATCAAGTCAAAGCTTATTGCAAGCAGAATGCCACATTGATAGACAAAATATGACTAAAACTACTGTTAAAATAGAATTTACTATCAAGGAAATGAAAGAATGACTGAAATGATCTTTGAGACTAAACCAGTTACTGGCCATACAGAAATGAACTATCTAACCCTGACTGCATACATTAAAGGAGCACTCGGCTGCAGGCATTACATAATGGTGTGTACTGGTTATGGTGCTTAAAGTACCCCTTTAATTGTTAGATGTTCATTCACTAAACAACATATTGTAGTAAATAACATTTAAAAAAAAATACTTAGGAATATAGGCCAAAATAGGCAAGCTGCAAAAATTGGCCTTGTTGGAGAATTTTTCCAAATCAACTGGTTTTACATCTCATCGCTCTTAAATGAATTAAACCCTAGATTTCAAGAAAAAGCTCCAAATCAATTGGAATCTGCTGCCTACATTAACCAGGTGTGTTTTAAAAAAAGGTTATGCAGCTTTAATTTACTACCCTGTTTCCCCAAAAATAAACCCTACCCCGAAAATAAGCCCTAGTCGGATTTTCGGGGTGGGCTGCAATATAAGCCCTACCCCGAAAATAAGACCTAGGCATTGCACCTTTGCGGCGAGACTTCCTTCTTCTACTGTAGGAGGAGCGTTGCGGGACGCGGCATCGCGCAACGTGATGACGACATTTCGCAGCGCCGTCAGTCTGCCTTCACGGATCTTCAGCGGAAGGATCCATTTCCGGGCGGTGAGGCACCCAGTGGTCGGACTCGACAAGGAATCTTTGAAATGTGAGTACCGGTAGATATTTTATGTCTGGGACTGAATTAATTAAAGGGGGCGGGGGGTGAATTAATTAAAGGGGGGGTGAATTAATTAAAGGGTGGGCTGGATTAATTAGAGGGCGGTGAATTAATTAAAGGGGTGGTGAATTAATTAAAGGGTGGGCTGGATTAATTAGAGGGGGTGAATTAATTAAAGGGGTGGTGAATTAATTAAAGGGTGGACTGGATTAATTAGAGGGGGGTGAATTAATTAAAGGGGTGGTGAATTAATTAAAGGGTGGGCTGGATTAATTAGAGGGGGGTGAATTCATTAAAGGGGGTGAATTAATTAAAGGGGTGGTGAATTAATTAAAGGGTGGGCTGGATTAATTAGAGGGGGGTGAATTAATTAAAGGGGGGTGAATTAATTAAAGGGTGGACTGGATTAATTAGAGGGGGTGAATTAATTAAAGGGTGGGCTGGATTAATTAGAGGGGGTGAATTACTTAAAGGGGGTGAATTAATTAAAGGGTGGGCTGGTTAATTAGAGGGGGTGAATTAATTAAAGGGTGGGCTGGATTAATTAAAGGGGGGTGAATTAATTAAAGGGTGGGCTGGATTAATTAGAGGGGGTGAATTAATTAAAGGGGTGGTGAATTAATTAAAGGGTGGACTGGATTAATTAGAGGGGGGTGAATTAATTAAAGGGGTGGTGAATTAATTAAAGGGTGGGCTGGATTAATTAGAGGGGGGTGAATTAATTAAAGGGGTGGTGAATTAATTAAAGGGTGGGCTGGATTAATTAGAGGGGGGTGAATTAATTAAAGGGGTGGTGAATTAATTAAAGGGTGGGCTGGATTAATTAGAGGGGGGTGGATTAATTAAAAGGGGTGGATTAATTAGAGGGGGTGGATTTATTAAAGGGGGGGTGGATTAATTAGACAGTATGGTATTTTGATCCCCAAACAAGATGAGTGCAAAGAGAAAGAGCTGTACATACTGGTAACGTAAATAAATAAGCCCTACCCTGAAAATAAGCCCTAGTGTGTTTTTTGTGACTAAAATTAATATAAGACCCGGTCTTATTTTCGGAGAAACACGGTATCAAAGGTACTTTGAATGGTGTATTATTTATAAGCATCTCCAGTTAAAGGAGACAGATGATCTCCTTACTCTGTAGCAAAGATTTCAAGGGTTTACTCACAGAAGCGCACATGAATCAGTCAGTCAATGAGCGGTGACAGATTCGGTAAGATATCTCAAGTGATTGATGAATTGACTGTAGAACATGTTCAGACTTCATGTTTGCAGGGCTAATTCCAGGATGGGCAATGTAACATTTCATATAGCAGAGGTCAATAAGGACAAACTTGAAAACGTGATAGAATTACAATGTATGTTTCTTGGTAAAACACTTAGTAGTATATTATAGATCCACTTGTGCTAACAAAAAGGTAATCTTGTCCAACTGAGGAATTCCTAAAACCAACATTTATTTGGGGCATTAAAGTCCATTTGGAAAACCTATATTTTTCAAATATGTGAATCCTTCCAGGCTTATTTATCAGTCAGTTGACAGTAAATTTCTCTGTCCTTTGAGAGGTTTATTGAATAACCCCTCCTGCCAGAAAACCTTACCTCTATGTCTGATAGACTATTGTTTACTTAAATCATGAGTCACCCACGAGTTGATTTTTTATTTGATAAATTACAAAAATATATTAACCGTCCCAGGAAATATGTAACATTACTATGACTTGAAAACACCTGGGTTTAAATTGGTTTGTAAAAGAATATGGCTTAAAAAAATTAAATTAAAAAAGTGACAGTCAAGCATTGATATACATGTAGCTACACTGCTATGAAAAATTTAAATACATCTCTGAAATGGGATGTAATAAATCCGGCACCAACATAAATCATCAAGTGGTGCTGTGTTCTTAAGGCCATAAAATTACATTTTCCATGCCAGTGATTTTTGATTATTCTAGTTATTATACATATTCATCAATATATTACATAGTGAAATCTCCTTGGAATTTGATTAATGTGAACATTGTGAAAGCCTACTATGTCATAGTAATAGTAAATGTTTCCTTACCATTAATTGAAAAAAAAAGATTTTCTGGAGTGCAATAACAGATCATTCATCCGTTGTAAACGGATGGTAAAGGTCATCATGACAAACCAATTGGTGTATTTACTTTATTTTTTTTTAGAATGTGTTATATTGTACCAAGTATGCAGCTTTTTATTCAGATATATTAAAAACAAAACCGAATTAAAAAAACAAAAACAAAAAAACTCCCACTCACACTTCCATTCTGGGTAGTGTGATGGGTGTGAGTACTTTCACATTTTCTATGCCTGTACAACTTCAATATCTCCATCAATGTCCTGAATTTGGCTAATGTTATATTATATTCTCCTATTAGCTAGACAACTGTGTTTGGCAACCACGTGTCACCTTCAATTGCGTTTTAATAACTTTACAATATATTGGGGTGTTTCCACTAAACAGCAGGTTGTAGTGAGTTGTGAACTAACTTGCAAAATGCAGGCCAATTATCACAGTAAGTGTATATATATATATCCAAGTCTAATTAAGGTCTATTAGGTATTTGTTTCCAGTTCTGCAAGTTTAGCCTTTTTAACACAGCAGACTATGTAGTAAAAGATCCCAGAGTAAAATTACCGCAGGTCCTCAGCAGAGGTCTGCCTGAATGTTTATAAAACATGAAGTATTTATGCAGACCTTCTACTGACTGCAAAGCCCAATATATCAAGATTGTTTATACAAATATAACAATGCACTGGTCTGTGTATATACAGTGTGTGTGTGTGTGTGTGTGTGTGTGTGTGTGTGTGTGTCTGTCTGTGTCTGTGTGTGTCTGTCTGTGTGTATTTTATGGTTCGCTTTTACTACTTTTGCATTACTATCAGTCACATCAAACAGGAATTAGTGCTGAGGGTGAAGGACAAGGCAGAAGAGTTCATGGAATGGAACTAAATAGGATACTAATGTGTCTACTATGGTTGAGAAAACACAGACTACAACTCTTATCATCCGATTTAGGGATAATTAGAACTGTAGTCCTCATGATAATCAAGATCGCCATATGTTACTTATTTCAAGTTTGAAAGTTATATACCCAGATATAACAAATGCACTCCAGCAGGAGTGAATCTTATTTTCCCACAGACAGAATATACATTTAAATGTGCAGCACAGTATCTCCTTACCTGAGAGGTATCTTGATGGCTAGGTATCTGTCAATGGCTACAGCCAAGAGACTGAAGATAGAGCTCTGAGTGAGCACCAGCACAAAGCAGGCAAAGAACAGGCAGCTGTGGAAATCGGTTTTGAAACCGATGCTGATGGTGATTGCAAAAGGAATGGCAAGGAGCCCCACTGCTATATCAGCCACAGCCAGCGACACCAAGAAGTAGTTGGTTGCATTCTTCAGAGTGCTGTTGATGGCCACTGCCCAACACACTAACACGTTCCCCACGATGGACAGCACAGCAATGATCACCTCCACGGCTATGTAAGCTGGACTTGCTGTCATTTCCACTACTGGTTATGTAGAGCACATAAGGAGACAGTTACAGGCATCTGGAGGGAGGGAGAGGGAATATCCCCTGATACAGGATCCAGCCCCTGTCCAGTAACACCCGGGGAAAGTCTCAGAATTCACAGCTCTGTGTGTGCTTTATATGTCCAGAGGATGAGGCGTTTGGGGTATTCTTCACCTGTCACTTCGTGTTCCCATAGGAAAGTCTCATGCTCCCATTATAAAGCCACTACTCCAAGAAACCCAAACAGGATTGTGCCATTAGCACCAAGTATTCACTCAGGGTCATCCTTTTACACATGCACAGCTACTTCAAACGGCCCCCCAACTCACACCCCTGCAGGAGGGGACAAGAGGCACTTGCCCCAATGCCAGCCAATCGTGTGGGTGGGATTGCCACCACCAGCGCCGCTTACTTCAAGAAGGCTCTGCGCCCAATGAGGGGCAGTGCTGGGCACAGGGCATGGTGGTGTCTCCATGCAGGTCAGGGCTGCTGGATTCTGAATGGCATGGGATGGAAGGATGGGTCACAGCAGGAGGCAAGAAGAGCTTTCTAAGGCTGGATCAGTATAGGTCCAAGTTCTCCTCCCCAGCCAGTGAGTCCCTGCTATCCTCCCAGCCAAGTTTGTAATCCCCTCAGTGCAGAGCTGGGTGTCTGCGCCTGGATTCTATGTATCCAGACCGTGCACGTGGGCTGCCCTGATACAATGTAACCAGCGGAGTTCTAGAGAAGCTTTGGGTAATTGAGCAGCCCCGCCCACCTCTCACTCTATGCTTTGCCTATAGGGTGTACATGCATTGACACTTTGCATATGGCTTGTTCCCCACTCCCACTACTCTCACCTTGGCTTTCCTGCTTTGAAGTGTGTGCTAAGCCACTTCACTGGATAATAAGTATTTAACATCACTCGCATACCTTCCCCGGGCTCACACACTTTACTTTTATTGAAAGGAAAAAACTATTAAAGGTACTTAGTTGTTGCTCAGTGCTGCTCAATACACATAAACAAATATAAACGCCAGGAGTTAGAGGCAGTTTGTAAAGGGCATGTGATGCTCGGCAAATAACTACACAAATAAATATACCTGTACTAGGTTTTCATTAAATTGCACACATGGGAATCCTGCACTAACACGTACATACCAAACATACTTTTTTTTCTATTACAATAAAAATCCTTTTTGTCATGATAAATAAAGTTTTGCAAAAACACTCCTTGAATAGACACTCAGACAGGGCAGACAGACAAACAGAGATTGAGATAAATAGAAATGCAAACAAACATACTCTCAATGTGATGTAATGTATGACAAGCAGGTTGACAGACAGACATACAGTCAGTGTGACAGGGTAAACTAGAAAAGCTACAATTTCTGGGGAAATTGTGTGAAGTGTTCTGGCCTCCACCAGTAGTCTACAACTAGGGATTGAGCGATTATCGGTTTTACCAATATTATCGGCCAATATTCTGTATTTTCGGCAATATCGGTATCGGCCACTAAAGATACCGATATTGCTGATATTGATAGAGTGAGAAATGCATTTCTACTTTTATTTATTTATATAGCACATTTAATTGCAACGTTGTTGCCCAAAGTGCTTCAGAGTTACATTAAAACATACATTTATAAAAACATTAGCAGGTGTACAAAAGGCCCTGTCTATGACATCACTTGCTGCTCCAGCCTGGCACAGGTCAGAGTATTTTGACGGTTGCCATCTTCAAACGGTCGTATTTTAAAAACTATAAATCCTACAGCGAAGAGCTTTATATTGTGAGAATCACAAGACCCAGACCTACATTTTAGCATAGTATGTCTCTAAAGTATTAAAAATGAAGGCACAGTCGCAGTTTAGAAATTGCCCTTCAAGTTTCAGCTTGCTATAGTGGAGTTTCAGTGAATGTTAATGGACGGCGTGAGTTGCAAACAAATGATCATATTGTGAAAACTATCAGGACTATGGCTTAGCTGTGGGCAGCAGGGATAGCTGAATGTTTTGATATAAGATTTATGTAGGTGTGCTTGAAAATGAGGGAGTGGTGGCAGTTTAGAAATCATGTCCTGATTTTTCAGCTTTTGCCAGCTCCCACTCTAGTTTTGAACATTTTGCCATTCATTCCTATGGGACCAATTTCACCACAAGAACAACGATATTCCGTGAACCATTCGGCGAAACGTTCCACAAAGTAATAGCAATCCGATCGGGAACAATCCGCACGTTATAGATGGAAATAGATTGATAGATTAGATAGAGACACAGACAGACTGAAGTCAATATAATAGAATACAGATGACACAGGACTAGATATACAGTTGGATAAACAATGGATAGATTAACAGACAGACAAAACATAACATAGACATATAAGAAATAATAATGTAGATGCTGTATATAGATAGAAAATATACCGCAGGATGATAGATGACCGACAGGTAGATATATACAGATAAATGATAGAAAGATAAGTAGATAGATCCTATCTCACTTGCTGTTTTCATATTTGCACGCACCTTTGTTTACCTATGGATTAGATGGATTAGTACAGCTGCTGTTTATATATATATATATTTATTTATTTTTTTCCACAGAAATTATTTCCCAGAAATAATATTTCTAACACAGCTATTTGCCCTTTAGTTTTGCAAGTTGCTTTAGAATCTCAACTCACTATTTCCTGTATAAATGTGTACTTCTATTCACAAGGTAATGGGATTTACTAAGGCACTCCGTGCTTCTTACGATATATTATAACACTGCGTTGTTGTGAGCTATGCTCTACCTCTGAAGTAAGCCAGCTCTGACATTAACCACTGCTAATTACTGTCAAATATGTTTTCCGCTATCCAGAATAGATCACTGTAGCATCAGGAGGTCAGAGGGCATGATGTCACAAGCACTGTGCTGCTTACGTCCAAAAATCAGCAATGACGGACCAAAAATATCTTGGGATAAGTACATGTTTGGAAACATGTACTATCCAGCTGCAAATATTTTTTTTTAAAGAAAATCTTAAAAATGAACAGAATTTTTTTTTTTAAAGTTGGCAATTGTGATCATTCTATTTTTTTTATTTGTCCTTAAAGGACCACTCTAGGCACCCAGACCACTTCAGCTTAATGAAGTGGTCTGGGTGCCAGGTCCAGCTAGGCTTAACCCATTCTTTTATAAACATAGCAGTTTCAGAGAAACTGCTATGTTTATGAATGGGTTAAGCCTTCCCCCAAAGCCTCTAGCGGCTGTCTCATTGACAGCCGCTAGAGGCGCTTGCGTGATTCTCACTGTGAAAATGACAGTGAGAGCACGCCAGCGTCCATAGGAAAGCATTGATAATGCTTTCCTATGTGACCAGCTAAATGCGCGCGCAGCTAAAACAGTTCTAAAACAGTTTGAGTCCTTACAATATAGGGAGGTGCCAGGGTATTCCTACCACTATAAGCACTACAGCATGCTGTAGTGGTTATGGTGCTGGGAGTGTTCCTTTAAAACCTTTTTTCTTTGTACGATTCCTTTCTTTGTTCCCCACAAGCAGGTAATAAAGTACAATTTTCATTGAAAACATTTGTAGCTGCTTAAATTTAGGATAAACGTATATTTTCCATTGTTTATGGTGGGCATCGGACTGTACTGTTATATACCTCGTCCCTAGCTAAGGAATAACTTAGCACTTTACAAAAAGTAACAATAATAATAGCACATGTAGAAAATCTAGCTTTAGAATCCCTGATTTGAATAAAGTTACCAAATATACCTAAATCCCAGCATTTTGTCTTTCATTTTGTTGGAAGTGGCTTTATGGAGATCATGGAGCTTTATGGGTAATAGGGGACCTTTTCAACAAGTGGTAATACACTACATTAAATATTCCTGATGGTAATAGAAATATCCCCAGGACTGTTTTTTCCTTTTTCAAATATCTACATTTGCTTACCTATCACACTTTTTGTATAATTTCTCTAAACCGAAAATCCCAAGCTGTGCCATTGGCATGAGTGCCAAACATCTCATAGAAGTGTTTTATTGAGCTCTGTTGGCACCACTGGATTTACCCCAAATCTCTTAGACTTAAATCAGGAATTTACCATGAAACAATGGAAACATGCTCTAGTTACCATTACAAACTTTTTACATAACACCACTGAAAACAAAATCACAAATAAACCTCTATGCAGGTGGAGGTGGTATCTGACAGAAGTTAGACTAGAACATATTTAAGCAAACACCTCCAAGTTATGCTTGAAAGGCTGCATTTAATTATTCATTTTATCATGACCCCTCCCCATCTAACCCAGCCAGGACATTTTGTGGCTGTGCAACCACAGTCTTCCAAATGCAGCTCAATGAGACGTCTTTGCAAGGCATTTACTCTAAGCAATTGCCACATCTTGAGCTTAGCTTCACTGAGCTAAACAACCAGGAAGTAACAGAACTTGTTGCCTGTTACTTTGTTTTCCTGTCAATATAGTTTCCCTTTATGGATATTAAATTAAGGTGCTATTTAGCATATAGCTTCCTCATTTAGTACCCCTAAGAATAGCAAATTAGGGTGTCATCTACTAAACCGCTGCAACTGCTATCATTCTTAGCCAGGGTAGGTGCACCACTGTACCACTACTCACTCACCTGACATGCCAAATCCACATTTTCTCTAATCGTTGGGTATTTACACAGTTATGAAAAATAAAAATACAATACTGGTTTTTGATGACTCCATTAAAGGAACAGGGTTGCATTCAGAAATTGGGCGCCCCTAACACAGTTCAAGACCCAGGATCTTCAGCTTTTGGCAGCATCTCTCTTCAACTCTTGTGAGTCTGGTCATGTTAACCCGTGGCAATACACTGACAGCCAGGTGCTCGCAAGCAGGGCCTCTATCAGGGGGTGACAACCATGACGGACAGTTGCACCGTGTCCCGCACGCTGATGGCATGCATGCGGCTGTGTATTAGCGCAACCGGGCCCCTTTAAAAATGGCAGCCTCAAGTTGTGCAGGGAAGAAGTGACAGCTGGTCACTTCCTCCCAGCTTACTCCATGCGGGAAGGAGGAAGTAGACTATAGGCCACGAGGAGAGGAGAGGCAAATCCCATCATCCCCAGCCCCTTCCTTCAACAAAAAAGGTAAGAAACAGGAGGGTGGCTGAAAAATGAGATGTATATATGCATGCCTGTATGTATATGTATGTATATGTATGTATGTCTGTTTGTCAGTATGTATGTCTGTATATGTATGTATGCATGTCTGTTTGTGTGTGTGTGTGTTTCTGTATCTCCTTATGCATGTGT